AATAATACTGGTAAAATAATATTGATAAAAAGCGGTGGAACTTGAACAATACATAAGAATAATATGCATTTTTAATACCTAATATATAATAACCTAATTCGTACTTTTATTAAGATTATTATAAACATTAACACGTGGAAATCGAGAATATCTAACGCAAATTAAAATGTTTTCGATACATTTCTTTCGACCGCATATAATACGCACAGCTCGCGACCAACGGGCCATAATGTTGAGTGTTACTACACATCAAAACTGTGACTAATATAGTATTTACTATTTAGCTCTATAATAAATTAAGCATGCAAGAAATAATTTATAAAAATTAATGATAATTTATAAAATAAACATTGAAAATTAAAAATTAAAAATACACGAAACTTTTAGGTCGAGTGAATGATATTATTGTATATATCGTATAAACCCAACACCAACTTACCATTACACATGCTATGATCCCTCGTGTTATCAAACTATAATCGATTAAAATTTCAAATGTCTAGATGCAACACACATTTCATAAAAATATTTCGAAAAATTATGAAATGTTCTTAAAATGTTAACATTAGTACTCAGTAAATTAATCAGTTTCAAGATAATGTAATTCATATTTAAAGAATAAGAACCAAATAACTATTATTGTATAATAAAAATTCGTTGAAACACCCGATTTCGTCAAAATTTTATTTTCTAACACTTATAGAACTTTTTGCGTTTCTCTGGTAATTTTTTTTTTTTTTAGTACGAAAAAAATCTTATGAAAAATGTTGAATTCAATTTTAAGCCATAGTTATTAAATTTGAAGGTAGGTAATGTGCATTTTTAACTACAAAAATGTGGTGCATTTTCGTGATTTTTTCTTTTTATCAAAATGTAATAGTCTAGTACTCATATAATGTTTTCTTGAACTTTTTCAATTGTTTAATTTTTTTTTTTTTTATTAATCTATAAGATATATGTATATATATATTTGAAGAGTTTAATAATTTATTTTTAAAACTTTTTGTCTGACCGAAATAATTTTATAGATATTTTACAGACAAAAATACTTGAGAAACATATTTTCAAATATCTATAACAAGTTAACCACTACATTATTTTTTCGATATATTACCTGGGGAGCTACGTGTACCATTTTTGGTATATTGGATTCTTTGCTAAAAAGTGTCATGTATACCGAATAGATTACATATAAATACAATTTAAACATAGAAAAATTTCCATTTTGTGGCAAACTTGAATATCAAATTTTAACCATGTACCAAAAATTGTATAAGTAGCGGTTAATCTGATAAATAACTCAATATATATATATATATTTTTAATATACCATGTATAGCAAACGGTGATATAAGTATTCAGTGAAAATATCAAGTCTCTACGATTAATATTTCTTGAATAACCGGTAAGCCGTTTTTTGAAATTTTACGTCAGTTTTTCGCGATTATTGAGAAAACTGTCGGGAAAGCCGTATAATGAGTCTCTCCTCATAGTTATTAAATATACAACATTTGCTTTCAGGAACCTTTTATGATTGCGATGATCAGAGCGATCCTTCTGATCGATATCACGTACGTAGACAAAAAAGCACAAATGGTAAAATCAATATATCCCTCATTACTACTCAGAATCTAAAAGAAAAGTAATACAAAATAATACATTCTATAATGTAATTATTATACCTGTACATACAATCCTATATTAAGATCAAACAGCAAAATAAAAGAAGTAACATACAGTTTTGATATAAATGGTAAATAAAAAATAAATAGTCTGGGTAGGAGTATTTTGAGCGGCTAAGAAATTTCTGTTTACAAAAGTATGATTTATAGAAATTAATGTTTTCTATAAAATCAAAGAATCAAATAGCTAACTATGTGTACATATATTTTTATCTAAAATTTATTCAGCAAATATATTTATAATGGCATGCTATAGAAATTGTTTGTTTATACATATAATTCACTTTATTTGAACTACCAAATTACCAAACTTGTTAAGTAAAGATAGTCCAGTACCTACTCTAAGTCTATAATGATTGATTATACATTTACAATTATATAATGTTATTCAGGTATTTAATTAACAGGGGATAAATAATTTATGACAATATTAATAATTGAACATTTTTATTTAATTGATGATTTTATATACCTATATAAAAAATATTATATTGTGTTAAAAATTTGTATGTAAAAACAAAATCCCATTATGTGGAGGTCCCTCTTCCAATTTGGCCCTGGTTACGGAACATCATAAAAGTACTAAAACATTAAATTTATATCAATAAATCAACAATTATAAGTCAAGATTTAGGTATTATTGTAAATAATAAATATTTAACCACTATTGATAATTAAAGGATTGGCGAGTTATAGCATATGGCAAAGAGAAATGGGAGGAGAAAGTTTTGGCGGTAAAGATCCTTGATTGATTGTAAAGCCGGATTAAAAAAAAAAATGATAATTAAAGGAAAAAACATACATTTATTCTTTTTTTTTTACACAAAATACAAAAAAAGTTTTTACAAATAAAATAATTTAAAACTAAATTGGTTTGAATTATATTTATGTTTACAATATTACAACCACAATCGATATAATATTATATATTGACGTAAAATAAAAATATATATATCTTAATATATGCCTAAGAATTTCATTTCTTGACTTTGTTATACATAGTAAACACAGCTCGTTCGAATAATAGTACATAATAATAAAATGAGTGATACAAAATATAATTTTAAGTAAAATATAATTTTTAAAGACAGCCAACCAACAAAAAAATTGTTTATAAATAGGAGCAATGAAAAAAAAAAACAAATCTTAAAATACCATTAATTAGCAAGAAATATTAATTTATTCACTATAATAGCAATAATATAATTGATTATATAAGCAATACTGTTAACTTATAGAGAATGTAAATATTATTAATATATTATATTATGTAGTAGTTGATCGATTAATATGTTCAACAAGTAAGGAACATGTTATAGATAATTGAGTACCAAATATTTGTAAAATTTGGTAGAATAAATAACATTATTAAAAAAACGTGTTTAAATAAGGTTCATAAGTTTTTATTAGTATGTGCTTTAATTTGTACTTCAATGACTACTATTTATTGTGTGTGTGTGTGTATGTGTGTGTGTGTGTGTGTGTGTATGTGTATAGTTTAAATATGTGTGTAAGTTAGTGTACTGTATAAACCATAGTTGTTATTTGTTTACACATATGTGTAAGATATATAGACTAATATTTTAGCGCAGTACTTAGGAAGAAACAAATCATTAATAAATTATAATCTGCTAATAGTAAATGAAATATATATATAGGATAAAATATCAATAGAATAAAATACAGTTTTTCATTGTTTTGTATACAAGTGTAGGTACAATATTGATAAATAATACAAGACTTTAATTTCTATAGTAATATTGCAATAAGTATATATATATAAATGCAAAAAAAAAGCAATTGGGTGATTTTTAATAAGTATCACAGTTTATTTATGGATATACATAAGTGGTTCCATGTATTTAAAACCTTATAGAAGTTAAAGAAATATGCAGCAAAAGTTATGAAGACTATAACACAAGGTTTGAATTTTATATTTTAAATTTATAACTTTTACAATAGCAGATATAAATAAATAGGTGACAATAAAGAGCAAAATCTATACACAGAAGCATATTTTTTTCTAACCTTATATAAAAAATTGGTTTAAATCACTCATCAATAAATAAAACTGAATGTGAACATTGTTTTGATAAGTTTTATGTGAAAAATTTGACTACAAGTGCATTGAATAGTTAAAAGTATAAAATAATATAGATTTATAAATGCAAATATTTTGTGTGGACATAAAACATTGTAAGAATAATGTACAAACAATTAATAATACCTTATGAAAGATAATATAATTTAGATACCAATAATATTAAAGTAGATTAATTTTAATACTGAAATTTTACAGAATGCATAGTAAATTATTGCGCATTATTTGAGTATTCAATAATATTTCTTATCAAATTGTAAAGTACACTCATTATTGCAACATATACATTTTTATACTAATGTATTTACTAATTAAAATAGCATAGAATTATTTTGGCGCACACATAAATATAAAATCAACTTATAAAATCTTAAACAACTAATTAAACATTAATTATATTTAATCAACAAATTCAATACATTAGAGCTGTTTAAGTTGTACACTTTGAAACAATAAGTAATAACTATTGGAAGAAAAATAATAAAATGGCAAAATATGAAAATCTAAATTTAGCTACTAATAATAATGAACAGGTAATACATATAAACAGAATGAAAATGAGAATAACTTACCTAAAAAAATTTAAAATTTTATTACTATACAATAGTAATAATGGTAAAATGTGGTATCAAATGCTAACTGTTTAAAATTAAATAAAAGTTGAAGGAACATGTACTCGTTTTAAAACCATTACTATCATAATAAATATAAGAAAACAATTACTAAGAATAAACTTTTTTAAATTTATTATACTAAAGTTTGATTACAAAGGTGTTAAAATATTTTGAGATTGAAATGATAAAAATAATAGAAAATGACTGGATTGATTTAGAATAAAAAAATTATTATTATTATTATTATTATTATTATTATTATTATTTACAGTTACACTATACAGCTCTAAAGAAGAATATTGTTTTAATTTGGCAAGGTTAAAATAGAATTTGGCTTAAAAATGGTGTTTCTTGAAATATTTAAAAATAATTATAAGTATAGGTTTAGAACGTGAAAATTCTAAATTGGGACTAGGAAAAATTATTATAAAATATTTATTGATTGGGCAAGTTTTTTTTGCTTTAATTTATTATTCATTAAGTTAATTAAATATTATTCATAGATTAAATATTAATCCAGAAATATTTAATTCCAAAAGTAAATTAAATTTATTTTTAATAAGTGATTTTTATAATAAATTATAAATTATAACATTATAACAATTTCAGAAACACCCTGTAGATTATAGATAAAAAATAGTCTACAACTTTTATATATTTAAATTAAATTACCAGCATATATTTAGAGCTTGATCTCCCAAAGTATGATATATGCATTATTTTCAATTGTCGAACAACATGGTTGCTGATAATTGACATAACCTCGCCCACAGGATACGGTTACTAAGGTAAAATCTTTTTTTGATACATCTGATCGTACATGTTGTACTGTTGATTCATCAGTGGATCGCAAAGACCATCGACTTGAATTCAAAGCATCTTCATTTTTATCATAGTCTTTAACACACATTAAACGACCATACAAGTCATATATATCACTAGCTAATGTTTTTGAAGGTGGACGCTTTAGAACAGTAGGTGGATCTTGTAAGGGCACTAAAATGGATATTGGACCAGTATGTCCATGGTAAGATACATTTACTTTGCCACTGATTATGGGTACACCTTCTAAACGAGGCAAAGGTACAGTTAAGCTAATACCAGCATCAGTACCAACCCATAAAAGCCCTTTACAAGCCATTAGTGCAGTAACATTAACTGGTGTAGCAGTACCTTTTAATCTAATAACATTTGATGCAATATTTATATCCTAAAAATAAAAACAAATATATTGTAAGTAAATAACTATCAAGTATTTTATATATAAATATAATTTTTCATAAATATATAATTATAGATTCAGAAACGTACCTGTAAATGTTTAAATGTTTCAGTATGGTATAAACAAACAGTAGTTGAATTAATTAATGAAAGCCAAAGGCCAACACCAGAATGAGCTAAGTGATTCACATTCTTTCCATGGTGAATGGTAAAATTTTTCTAAAACCAACATAGTCTTTAGTTACAATAATCTTTAAACTATCTAATCTATTTATTTGATGTTTACTTGAAGTTCTCCAGTAATGGCACTCAAAACAAATACTTGTTTACCACATGCCACATACAATGATAAATTAATGGGCAAAATACAAGTAATGGGTGCATCTGGACCCAAAACAACAATCTCTGGTTCTTTGGATTGGTTACCTCTTCTATAGAGAAGCAAAGATCCATTTGATAAAGCTACAAATACAGTATCACAATGGTGTTTAATGGCCGTAACTCTCAGACTTTCGTCTTCGCCTGGTAATGAAATACTTGCTTCTTCAGACATATCGGCAGTATTAAAAATCAAAATACTATAAAATATAAATATATATATATATACCAAATGATAATAACAAAAAATAATGTTGTATATAAATATTTTGCTTAACATTTTAATTACCTTTTATGATTGGTACCCATCCAAACAGTATCTGATGCTCTGACATACTCTATAGCTGTTACAATAGTTTGTGGCAAGTCTAATGTTGTAATTTGTTTTAAAATGCAAGTATTATTAACAGACATAATGGCTATATGTGTATTCATTGGAATATTAGTAGTGCAAACCCACAAATATGAAAATTTACCACAACCAGAAGAATAAAAACATCCACAAGTCACCTATAAAATCCCAATTATACAAGTATAAGTAGTTTATATATATATATATATTATTTAAGAAAAAAACATTACTTCGGCTTGTTTACTGGATGATGTTATAGGGTGAGCACCAACAAACAATGGCATTTTTGTCATTGGACGCATCAGCTCTTGATCAGGAACTTCCCAAGCTGGAGAATTATTTGGATCCAATGCTAAGCGGGCAAGCCTCAATTCTATACAATATTTTTAAGTTAAAAAATGAATACATTAACAATATTATTTTTTATATTTACCAGTTATCCAAGCTTTACGTAAGTCAGGATTTTCCATTTGAAAAGTGTATCCTTGACGGTTTATAAACAATTGGAGACAACAAGAATCCATCCATGCTACTTGATCTCCTTTATATTGCACTTCACATTGTATTGCATTTAAAACACCTTTCAAATGTTCCGGAGTAAGATCCTAAAAATATGTATATTTTTTATTAGAAAGCAATTATCTTATCTTAAATTACATTTGATGTCAATACAAACCAAATATGTGCCCTTTAGTGTTGATGCTAATTCAACAATTCGACTGATTACTTGATAATCATGCATTAGATGGTTCATTTCATTACATAGATTATCTGTAGTAATACTATTATGTGATGCTGTGTTACCAGCAATTGTACGCGAAACACTTGGCAATGACAATGTATCAATAACCTATAAAATAAAAACATCCCAAAATTGTGAATAGTATCAAATAACTATTAATTTAATTATAATATAAAATAGAAATTAAGTTAGTTTAACATACTTGAATTTCAGAAATTGGAAAACTCCATTTGAATGTTAATCTTTTTTGAGATGTGCTATTAGAGTCATCTTTACTATTGACTGAGACACACACTAATAAATCATTCAGTAGTAACAAACGTCGAGGTTTACATTTACCAATAACTTCTCCATGATTTATTTCCTAAAAATAATATTAATTGATTAGATGAGTGGCATAATACTTATAATAGCTAAACTAACAATTTGAGTAACATCATCTTGTCTCAAGAGGCATCTATTACTATCTGCTATTGGACGAACAGCTAATTTACTAGATACAGATTTCAACATTTCTTTAAATGCTTGAGCCTGTTCACTCTCACGTTTCCTTTCATTAAGCATGTCTGCTAACGATTCTAATTGAGTTAAAGCTAACTGCAAAGACATTCTATCTGGGTGACCATAACTTGTATTAAGTAATAAATCCTAAAAAATTAAAAATTTTGAATAATTTTTTGAAATTAAAACTTAAAACAAAAATTGTATAAAATACAAACCTGCAAGAAAAGAATAAACTGTGGAAATCGTTGCACAGGTTTAACCATCAAACTGTAAAATGAAAGACGATCATGGGATGCTTCTTGACGATTCTAAAGAAATTTAGTTAAGTTAATTAATGTTTATATAGTAATACAATTAAAATACTCACTTTAAAAAATTCAGCTAGAGATGCTTTTCTTTTGGTTTCAGTTTTAGCTAATTCCATTGCATTTAAAAAATTATTAATAAATCCACTATAGATATCTAACACTATTGCTTTACTAAATGATGCCACAAACACATCACCAATTCTATGATCACGATCCCAGTTTGCAACAGCTTCAGCTAATGCTATTCTAAATAATGTATGGCATTGAAGTATTTCTGGAACTCGATGAAACAAAATTGAAATTTTTGATTGACTTAAGATTGATGGCATACTTTGTTCCAGTGGTTTTTTATAATCCTAAAATGTTTACATATATTTTTTAAGTAAACACAAATTTAATATATGTTTTAAATACTCACATTCACAAGCCTATGAAGTGTAGCTAAATAAGAATTTTCACTTCTTACAATGTCATCAACAATATACCTACGTCTAAGTTCTTGCTCAGATATATCTGGAGGTGCTGGTGGAAGACTTGGTGGAATAAGTCGTCTAGAAAAACAGTCTTCTTCTACCTGTAAATAAAAATGAATTTAATATAATTAAGAATATAGTAAAGAAAAAATTATATTTATTTATAATAACAAGTTTTTCAATTTATAGAACGGATGCAACAAAACTAAATGATAATATAAATAGTTAATATACTTCTGGTAATAGAGGCATTTTGCTATTTGGTCGAACATCTAGGTCATATTGAGAGCATCTTCTTAATGAAAACCATCTCGATAATAAACCAGGACTAGAAGGTGGATCTGGATCTGGAGAACTTTTTGTCCATTTTAATGTTTTAGAAACATTATTTCTAGCATCATAACTTCTGAAAATACAAACATAAATAACACTAAACACAAGGACAATGTTATAGGAAAATAAGTACATACTTGTTACTTTCTTCTTCTGATGAAAGTTCTGGATCTCTATCAGAACTTGAACTTTTTTGTGATGGAGTATGTCGCTCATTAATAGTAGTTGACTGAGTTACTTCATCCCATGAATTTTGTCGCCATCGTACTGACTCATCTGTTGGTAAAATATCTTACTTGAAATTCATGATAAAAATGTAGGTTTCTTTCCGTGATTTGTTATAATATTAAGTTCACATATATATAAATATATATGTAATAAATATTATAACATCATAATTAAATAAATAATATAACAACAAACATGGGCATAGTGAGGATGGGGCAGGGGGGGCACTTGCCCACCCATGTGCCTCAAACTGAATTCTATTTGTTTATACCAAATGTGTAAGTTTTACATTAAAATCAAAAATTAAATAAAATATAAGTCCAAAAATAGTTTAGTGGGACCGAGTGTTATCTACACGTGTAATCATTTTGACGTTTTATGTGTTATCCAATGGTCTATCTGTAATTATTTGAATTACGAGTTAAACACTTATAACTTTATGTTTTTGCCTCCTCCCTCCTTGATTTAAATTTTAGCTATGCCCATGATAACTAATATTTTAATATAAAAAAAATAAATCATGTATAGTTACAAAATAAAACAATTTACAATATATATTATCTAATATATATGAAATATATATACATATATTACTATATATTATCTTTGACTGTTTAAAAAACCATATAAGATAAAATGAATAATTTTTTTTAACTTTATATTATTATCTAAAACAAAAATAATAATAAGGAAATTACCAGGAAGTGATGTTTTACTCGGACTGGGTGATATTAATGTTGGCATTTTATTCCAAAATCTTTTTGTGCTAAAATGAGATTTTCGAGGCCGGCTTAGGCTATTAGTACCACAACTACTAGCATCACAAGCTACCCCACTATCTACACTTAAATTTACTGGTGAACCATCTCTCGAAGTTCCTAAATTGAGGCCAGATGAACCATTATTGTTTAAACATGCACCATTATCAGGCATTATCATAGCTTCCATTGATAAATTTAATTCATCCAAAACCTTAAATAAATATAAAGTATGTAAATATTTTATAGTTAAAATAATAATTTAAAATTATTAAATAATATTATTTAAATTAATATTTGCCTGTAAATGTTTTGAATGGACATATCTAACTTCTTCATCAAGTTTAGATGTGCCAATCTCTTCATATATGTTCTCTTCACGTCCATATCGGTTGATATAACTATGTTTTGAACATGAATGTGGTTTGACTGACCCATGAGGACCATGCTCATAATAAGCATAAGCATAGTCACCATTACTTGAAGCTGGTCCACTATACCGTGGACAAGTACGTCGACCATCAACATATTGAGATTGCTTATCTCTAGAAGCCATTTTAATCAGCTATAATATACCTGAATATGATACAAAAGTGTATAAGAATCTGTATATATATACATATATAAATAAATTAGTGCATGATTAGATACAAGATTTCATCAAAAACATTAAAATTATTACTACTACTATTATACTGAAAAAGTATTGGAATCTTAAACCACTGTAAAATTGTAAATATATTTAATGAATCATCCAATACACATGTACATGCATACAAATTACTAAATTACTAAAGCAGAACTTCATTAATGCAAGTTTTAAGATACAGTAAAAATTGTGACTCATGAGATAGCTAATATTTTGTCAATTATTATTATATATATTTTACAGTATAAATCTTATAATAAGAAATAATAATTGGGTCATTTTTTTTTCTGAAAAAGGTCTGTATGTTATTTATTTCAACTACAATAATTTATCAGATAAAAATGTAAAATGTCTTGAATTTGTTGATGTTTAGTTTAATGATGGTATATTATATGAAAATAATGATTTTATCGAAAATTCTATGTATAGAGATTGGTTTCTTTTCGAAGTCAAAAATGTTGATTTGAAAAAATGTAATTAAGTAATAGATTATTGAATTTTTAGGCTATAACTTAAAAAGTATTTTCATGAATGGCTTTGGGCGAAGATAAAATTGTCAATTACTCTATTATTTTACCTGTTATTAGAAAATAAATCAATTGTGAATCTTATTAAATCTTTTTTCCTAAACATATTGTTCGTTATAATTTATTACTTTTAAGACTAATTATAAATACAGCATATGATATTAATACATAAAAGTGTAATTATCATTTATTAAACTTGATAATGTTCATGTCGTAATCCATGATAAATAAGCATAAGCTTTAATTTTTATACTCTAAAAACAAATTTATTAGGTAATTACATCAACTATGAAAAATCAATAAGATATATAGTAATTTTTAATATTTCTAATTTATTTATCAATATTGCTTAATAAAATATTAAACACGCATTATATACTTTAAAATACTATGAATTGTTCATAAGTGTCTACTGTTGCATGCCAGATTTCAGTTTACGGAAACAGTAGACTTAAAAAAATGTAAGAACTAAAAAGTTAAAAAAATTTTCATTTTATTCAAAATAATTGAATTGCACCTATCATAAGTTCCCTTTTAAATATTACCAATTATTATTATTTTTAGTGCAACATCAAATTCAAATAAACTAATGTGAAATCACTTAATAATCTACAAATTATTGAAATAATAATTTGTAGAATTCTGAATATATTGAGACATCTTTAAATGAAACATTAACTTTATTTATAAGTTATTTGGTAAACTTATTTTTAGAAATGGTAATTCTTCATCTATCTAACAAATAGCTAAAATATATACCAAAAATAATACTTGGAAATATGCAAATTTGAAAATTCAGAGAATAGACATATAATAATTATATAATTAAACATATTTAAGGGGTCACTATTAAGATAATTATAATTTGTCAAATAATATGAATTTGGTTATATTATATTGAATAAATGACATCCAATCAAACAAATAATTTGATATGCTTACATTTTTCATATCCATTTTTGACGATATGATGAAACAATTCAAAACACGAGCATTAATAAAACATTACAACCATACATGAATAATTTTCTATACTAAATGATTACATCGCCGAGACGATACCAGAGCACTTGAAAATTGACAACGGAAGTCGGAAAACAGATAATAAAAAATTAAATAATAATGTAATAATTAACAGTAAAAATATTTTAATCAGAATAATAACAACATTGGCTAATTGACTTTGTTGGGGGAACGACTTGTGTGATTTGAGAGAGAATATAAAAAATAAAAAACAAGAATGATGGAGTGGTGATCAGATTATTTATTTGGATACGTTCGGTAAACAATGGCTGTGTTCAGAACTAAGCACGTTATCAATACACTGACATATTTCCTCCAGGTTGGTGATAACGATAACGCTTCAAAATTAAAAATGTTATTTTTGTTTGCTCCTGTTTGTCGTAACATTCTCTTATTCTAAAAATTAATGTAATTTACTAGTACACCGGTAATATAAATATTTAACTGATTTGCATAGGATTTTAAAGTGTTATAATCAACTCTATCTACTTAAACATGGCAAATCAACAACCCGGTGTATCCCAACAGCAACGGAAAATTTCGGCTGATTCATTAGTATGTTGGTCTACTTACTATTTTCATGTATTTATAGGATCCTCGTGAATACGATACTGACGGTTTTTGTTGTTTTTTCTTCGTACAGTTTTATGAATTTTCGCCGGAAGAAAAGAAAGTCATGCAGGAATGCAATCGTGATAGCTTTTATGAAAGGAGTTTACCACTGTCTTTAACTTTTGGTGCTGGAACGTACATGGTTATAAATGCCGGTAATTTTTTTTGCTTACCATATTAGGTATTGGGAAAGTTAAATATTGAACTAATTATTATCAAATATCTATTAAAATTTAATGATAGTATGTTAATGAATTTGCTATGGTTTATAATGTTTAATTTATGTTTTTATCTTCTTCTCTCTCGCTTTACTCCCAACTATTAAGGGTCAGTCTCCTATTTTCTACATCCCTCCAAAAGTCCTCATATCATTCTTAATCATATCAAACTGTCTGTTTTTTGAACTTCTGAGTTTTCATCTAAATAAAATAATAAATAATTATTATATTAAAATATTTTTTAATTATAATCAAGACTCGGAAGTTCTTGCAGATTATATATTTTTTGGAGTCTTATAACTTTCATAGTAAGATACAAATTTGTTTCAAATTTCCCCGATGTTATATATAAAATTTTATTTTGCTATTTTTTTCATATTTTCAATTTTTCATACTATTTGATAATTTAGAATTATAAATGCTATAGTAAAGAGTATTCATAAATATATAAAAAAATAAATAAAATTGTTTGAAAAACAAGATGTATATAATTTCATAGATTGTAAAATAAAAATATTTTGGATCAAACACATACAAATATACTAACGAAAACAAAAATGTATTTTAATTTTCATATGGTACATATTATTTGGTTGTTATCATCGATCATACCAAACACTTCTATTTGTTTTCAATTGGTTATTTTTAAAATCTGTTCTAACATATTGCAATTATCATATATACGTAGAAAGCGTTATCGTTGAATCACAAAATAGATTAAATTTATAGATTTAATCTATTCTGTGGTAGGAATATCTAGCACAATGATTTTATTTTAGTTTTCCGTCGTTATTTGGGTGTATTGCATATACGATTGATCATGAGCTATAGTTATAATAGGTTATCTATACGGGTCTTCTGTTTTTATATTGATTTAAAAAAAATGCTTAAAATTAAACAAAGTTTATCGAATCAGCTCCTAACTTAGGTTAATGAATTTGGTTCAAACTGGTAAAATCTAAAAGTAAATTTATAAAAAAAAAAAAATTTGTTAATGAAATTTTAATTTGCATTTTCCAATTTTGAGTGCTTAACATTTACTTTGATAGTGCTATGACTTCTGAGCTCTGTTTATAATTATTCTAATTTTATTGTTATAAATATTTTAAAAAAATATAGGCTTTCTGAAACGAAGTTTAAAATGGGGTCCATGGCCTAAAGTAATAGGTGCAGGCCTATTGGGTTATGTAATTGGAAAATATTCATATCAAAACAAATGTGCTGAAAGGCTAATGCAGATTCCTAATAGTGAAATTGGACGTGTTTTAAGAGAACGTAGAGGAAAAGCTATGGGTGAAAACTCTCAAGGGTAATTTAAATATTCATAGATAATTTAAAATTAATGAAATAATAATGATTATTAATTTTTAAGAAATATATTAACCCCTACCATTATACCTGGGGTTCAAGATACTGATGTTTCATCATTTGAAACAGATTATAAATCTGACATAGATATTGACATGCATAAACCTATGAACTCTTTAGATACTGACTATAGACCTAATTATGATGGTAAGCCAATTTCATAAACCCATCAACTTTTTTTTAAATATATTCTTAATTTTAGGCTTATCAAGTACTAAGAATAATGAATATCCAATGTCAAGTTATAATTCACCTATAACATATGATATACTAAGAGCCCGTAATAGACAAGATTTTGAAAAAACACAACCAAGTAAACCACTTTATAGGTACACAGTTATATTAACAAAATATATATTTTTAGTATTATTTTATTTATTTATTTTATTAATATATATTTAGAAGTTTCAACAGAAGTATTTACTTTTAATTGGTTAAGTTTGACTAAGACTAATAATAATACAAATAATTACCATTTGTACTTATATTAATTTCTTTCAATTTCATAGTCAATTTAAGAAAGATGTTATATTGAAAAATAATTTTTTTATATACAATATATTAAAGTTTAACTTAATTTAATATAAATGTATTTTTATTCTAACAAAATGTAAATAACATTCCATTTTTGATTTAGGTCACTACCTCCAATAGACTCTCAACCAACATGGGATAGTCAATACCCACCATCTGATCAAACAAGAAGCCCTAAATCCAAAGAGTCACGTAATCAGTTTGGAGATGTATTTTAATAGTTAAGAAAAAATAATTATGTCTTAATTGTTGAATGTAATTAGTTTTTTTTTCTTATAATGAATATAATTTTTAGTAAATTTATATCCTACTTGTTATTTTTAACCACACATTTTTTATAACTACAAATTACTATTTCATATTTAAAATAATTAAATACTTGTTAGTGTAAATTTATATAATTTTATAGTTGGATTTAAACATCTGATATGAATTTAAATTTTAAATTGTATTCTAAATAATTTTTTGTCAATATTACTTATATGAGCTATTAAAAAATGTTGTAATGCTACTATATAAAAATTATAAAATAAAATTTAAATTACTGTATAATAATCAAGGAAACTTATTTTAACTTAGTTTAAAAAATTAGGTTTATAGTTTAATATTATAAGAACTTAGTAAAACTATAATTCTTCAAATTTTGGACAGACAATGGTATTTAAAATAGCTTGTTGTGGAATTATTTTTACTGGTTTCAATGAAGTACCTCCATCTTCAATTTTACAGTTTTCATTAAAACGTACCCCTTTTGTAATGCGATTTTCTTCTTTCATATTTTCCTTACATAATGACACTGGAAAATATAACTTCATTTTTACATTTTATTTAAAAATATTAAAACTAATTAGTTTTATTTTCTTTGAAAATTGATTAAAATTTAAAACTGTTAATTATAATTACTTTTAGATTTAAACATAGAAATTTGTTCTTCTAATGTTTTTAATTGAAGTTTATCTCTTCTTATTTCTTTTTTAAGTTGTCGAATTTCACATTCCCCTTTGAAACATTGTTGTCGAGCTTCCATATCTCTAACTGATCGTCTATTCATTTCTTCTTCTAAAGCTTTCTTTTCATTCCTAATATAAGTATGAAAGTAATTTCCATAAAAAATATAAAAATAAAAACCCAAGGAAAATAGTATATTTTTACAACATACCTTACATCAGCTACAATTTGAAGAACTACATTCATTCCTTCATTGCTTAAATTATCTATTTTTAATAATTGGGGGGTTTCTGGTCTTTTTTCTAACTCTCTTATAGTAGTTTCTAAATCCTATAAAAAAAATTATTCATAGAATTCATAAAATTAAATAGCTATAAATATATTACACTTATTCGATTTTTATAACTTTGAATTAAAGTGGATTTTTCAAAGTCATCATTTTTTTCAGTTTCTAATAATTGTGTTTCTAATCTCATAATTTCCATCTGAAAAAAAAATTCAAACATGAATTATACAAGAAAAATATATTTTTAATTGTTTTAAAACCTTCAGTTGATTATTTTCGTGATTAGCTTTTGATAAATATTTTTTTAAAGTTTCATATTTTTCTCTTTTTATTTCAAGTTCTGTTGTTAATGCTTGTCTTTTATCATCAACTTCAGCAAATAATGAATTTCCCCTTTTATTATGATTATTTAAATTGTTTAAATTATTAACTTGGAGTCTGAGCATTTCACATTCTTCCTGCAGCGCCTGTAAATTATATTTTTAATATATTTTTTTTAAGAGAGTCTTGACTACAGGGCCATAACTTCTTGAGATTGGTGTTTCATATTATAGCACAAGTACAGTATGGTTAACGGTTATATTAGGACTCATACTTTTGGAACAATAGAGGTGGATAGCTGTTTCTCTTCTCAGGACAAAGGACTGTATTTCAGCCTTGAAAGAAAAAACATTAACAACCATGTGTTTTAGCTAATGATGGGAATGAAATCCGGATTTTGGATTTTTGAATTTAAAAATTTGAGATTTGTGTTTATAATTGCAAATTTCTGTATTTTAATCATATAACTTTCATTACACCACTTTTTAGTCGTTATTTTAATTCTCAGACAAGATGATGGTGATCTAAATAAGATATCTTAATAATTGGTGACACTTCAAATCTTATATACCATTATTCTTGAAGATACAATTAATTATAACTAAAATTTATTTTCTAATATATTTAATATAACACAAAAAATTGTAAATGAGATTCTTAATTAGTTTAGGTCAAAATATCATTTAATTTTGAGGATGTTAAATTATTTTGTATTTCTTATAAATAGTTCTTGAAAAAATACTAATTCAATGTTTTCAAATCCGAAAACCAAATTCAATGCAAAATCAGGATTTTAGAATCCGAAATCCGGATTTTTCCCATCACTAGTTTTAGCATAGGCATTTAGTCTTCTTGGTCATGACAACCCAGTTAATATAATATTTTTATTTTTATTTCTACTTAAAATTTAAAAATAATATTTAGTTAAAATATTGATTATGTTAAAGTCTTACTTCATATTTTTGTTTCCAATCATTTAATTTGTCAGTTTTAATACAATCTTTTGCTTTAAAGTCTTCTAGTTCTTCAATTGTTTTATTTTTTAAATATTCTAACTCAACAATCATTATTTCTTGATCTTTTATTATATTTTGCATCTCATTGTATTTTTCCTACATTAAAATAAAACGCTAATAAAAATCAACAGATTTCAAAATAATTTTTACATATCAACTTATAAATTAAACCATTTACATTTTTAATGTCTAATTCAGATTTTAAGTCCATTATAATACTTTCATTTAAATTAACCGGTAAATCATCTTTAGGTGTAGTTTTAGACATTTTTAAAATAGAAAGTTCATCTTTTAATGCATCAATTTGTAATGCATATTCTTTTTGCTGTTCTATAATCTTAAATTCTAAATTTGAATACTGCAACAAATTTGAATCAAAAACACTTTATTTTATAATTATTAATCTACTGAATATAAATTTTTTTTAACAAAATCAATACAGTTATTGCTTCAATCTTTTGCATCAACTACAAATTGATTATGTAAAGAATAGGTATTTAAAATTATTACTTTTACAGTCCATTGTTTTAAATCCGATTCTTTTGAAGTAATTTCTAATTTTAATTTCATATTTTCATCTTCAACGATATGTAATTGCTCAACATCATCTTGGAGTTCACTTATTATACAATTTTTTGTTTTTAATTGTAGTTGTGTTTCATATAATTCTTGTTTCATAATCTGCATAAAAATATAATTTTAATTTTTAATAGTATAATTATCATATAATCTATGATAATATATTTAAGTACAAATATTTGTTTTGATAAATAATTATTTAATAACTGTCATAACTTACATCAATAGAAGTAACACTAAGGCGAGGTTTATTTAATAATGGGTCGTTAATAGAACTGCCATCAATCTGAGATGAGTTTTCATCCATTTTATTTAAGTATTGAAAGACTGATATTTTTAAAAAAAGAATTAGTAAGTATAAATAAACATAAACAATATACCAACATAAAAAACGTAATGAACAATATGAAACTAAAACTAACGATAAACTGCCGAACAAGCCCACCACTGACAATCAATTTAACAACAAACTAAACTAAAGAGAAATAGGAACGTTAAAATTCAAATACATTCAATATTAATTATTGGTTATCTTTTCAGTGTTCCTAAATATACCAAGGTTAGGTTAAAGTTATCCATACAGTGGTAATCAGAGACTATTAAAATTTACAAATATACCTACTAAAGTTTTCATATAAACTGTGATACTAACTGATATATATATAAAATCAGTAACACCAATATAATTGGTGCAATGATATTTGTTCTGATAAGTAACTTAGTGATAAAAATGAATTGATAAGAAAAACAGCGTGTACTTAAGTCTGAAATGACTTATTTTTGTCGATTAGATTATAAAGTTTCAACTTGTCCATAAGTTGCCACTTCCATCCAATACGGTTGTAGCAATACTTTAAACTATATATAATTACTATTATAGATAGTACGATATTTTGTAACTTGTTTTTTTAGATATTTAGATACCTACTGTATTCAGTGAAAAATGGCTTCAATTGAAGGTGTTTCTGAACTCACCGAAGGGTAATTTTTTTATTCATTTTTTTACTTATCATGCATCGAATTAAATAGAATTATTTATTATTGTTTATATATAAATTAATAAACAATTAGTTTATATTGAGATAATAATTAAATATAACCTAATTTATGAATGTTAATAATTTTAATTTTATTTTTTTAAGAGTTCATTTTACTGATTTTAGTTATTCTATATTATTTTAATAATTCTTAAAAATAACTTGGAATTAATGATTATATGTTATTTTTTGTACATTAGTTTGGCTTGTTTGTCCAATGTACATAATCATAAACTATAAAATTAAATGAATGCTGTTTAATTATTTGATAACTTTAGTTAGCCTTAAATTTTTAGTTCAAAGTTTATAATTGTGAGCTATCTTACACTTAAATTTGTCTATTTATTAATATTTGTTGATAAAGATTTTATAAAAATTATATTAATAATAAATTTATTATGTCTGTTAAATGATAACTATCTACTTATTTTTTAGTGACCAAGGAAAATCTAAAAAACAATTAAAAAAAGAAGAAAAACTTGCAGCTAAAGCTATGAAGAAAGAACAATTTAAAGCAACAAATGTAAGTTTAAAATTTATCAAATTATTTACTATTAAATATTTATCATATTATTTTTCTTTTGGAATTAAATATTGGTTATTTATAAAAGTAGTAATGACTTTATTTGTTATATAATATAGTGTACTCTAGTTTTAATATTGTTTTATGTTTCACTATTTATACTTATCAAGCTTAAATGATAAAATTACAATTTTGCACACTTAAAAATACAATAGGTAAATATTTTACAAAAATATTTTTCTTTTTGTAAAATTAATTTTTAATATTTTAATTATTTTTATCTTAGGTTAAAAGTACAGTTAAATACTATAAAATTAAGTTACATATTATAATATTAGTTTATGTAATTAATTAAGTTGAGTATGTAATTTTATAGTAGATATATCTATTTATTTGGTTGTATTACAATTAAGGCTACCACTGTAGATACTTAATACTTGAAATAATATTTTGTACTATAAGTAAGTTATTAAAATAATATAAAATCTGTATTATAATATTTTTCTTTTCCTTCTCCTTCAACTTTTTCCTAACTATTTGGGGTTGGCCACCTTTGTCCTAACCTTCCACTTGTCTCGATTTTCTACATTCAATTTATGTATTATAATATTATAATTAAAATAATTTGAATTTTGTGTGTCATAAATAGAAAATAATCAGTATTGACCAAGAGTCTAGTGAAGATATATCGATTGGGAAATATGGATCATTAAAAATGATACAAAGTTCAAAGGATTATTTATTTGATAGAGTTTTTGTGGAAGTAAAGAACCTTATGACTGCTTTAGCTGATAATAGTGTTTGGGTACGTGGAAGACTACACACTAGTCGTGCCAAAGGTTATTATATTTACGATGATGATTTTATCTTATAATTATTAAAATATAATATAATATATGTCTTTAGGTAAACAATGTTTTATGGTAATCAGACAACAGCAATGGTCTGTTCAAGTGTTGGCTGTTGTGTCTGATACTATAAGTAAACAATTTGTTAAGTTTTGTTCCAAGTAAGATATAAAACTATCTAATACAACCTATTTTTAAATTTATATTTTTGTTGTTTATTAATTAATTAATATATGTAGTGTAAGCAAAGAATCTATTGTGGATATTAAAGGTAAAGTAATGAAAACACCTTCTAAAATTGGATCATGCACACAACAAGATGTTGAATTACATATTGAAGAACTGTGGGTAGTTAGCCAGGCTGCTAGTCAACTTCCTTTACTCATTGAAGATGCATCGAGACCAGTTAAAGAGGACGAGGAGGTATTTTATTTATATTTTATCTAAGTGTTTAAGCTAATTTAATTAATTTTGATTGATTGTTACATTATATATCAAATCATTTAAGAATAGTTTTAATTTAAATTTTAAATGTAAATTGTTTAAAGGATCAAGGTTTGAATATTAAAGTCAATCAAGATACAAGATTAGATAATAGAGTTATTGATTTACGCACTCCAGCAAATCAAGCTATTTTCCGTCTCGAAGCTGCTGTTTGTAAACTATTTAGAGATACACTAACTGAAAAAGTAAATTTAATTAAATATTTGTTTATTCATTTTTATCTTACTATTTGTTATGTTATTATTGAATGTATGTTAAACTTAATATTTAACAAGAGAAATTTTCAAGTTTAACAGTTTAATTTAAAAAAAGTTACCTTTATTACTACTTAATATAATTTTCTTATATACTAGTACATTTTTAGTGCTGTAAATACTATAATATTATGTTTATTAGTGTAACATTTTTTTTTATTGAATTGAATTTCTTTTGAGTATCCTTCATACAATGATTACATAACATTTAATATTATCTTTCTACTTAGTGCAATAGGTCTATTTATTTTTAATAATATTTATTATTTTTACATCTTTAATTTTCTTTTTTTTAAGACATCCACATCCGTAATATAATTCAAAAATAATTTTAAACTTTCAAGTAAAGTAATTCAACCTTAATTAAACATTTCAATTTTTTATTTTTTTATTATTTTACAGTTGAACAAATATACATACATTTTATATTTTCAATAATTTTTTTTTTAATTTATTTAGGGTTTTGTTGAAATCCATACTCCCAAAATGATAAATGCAGCAAGTGAAGGTGGAGCAAATGTATTTACAGTGTCATACTTCAAAGGTTCAGCATATCTTGCTCAGTCACCTCAGTTATATAAGCAAATGGCTATTGCTGGGGATTTTGATAAAGTGTTCACAGTTGGTTCAGGTATGAGAATAAGGTTTAAGAATTTGAATTATATTTATTAATATTTATACGTTGTATTTTAATAGTAAAATATTATTGTTTTCAGTTTTTAGGGCAGAAGACAGTAACACATATAGACATTTGACGGAATTTGTTGGATTAGATTTAGAAATGGCTTTTAAATATCATTATCATGAAGTAGTGGATGTTATTGGTTCACTTTTCACTAATATTTTTAAAGGATTACGAGACAAGTAATTATAGTTTTATTATAAATAAATATAATGGTATCGTGGCTAAGCAAAATAAACATATATTCACTAGTTTCAACCCAGTTTCTGGTAGTTTTGCTTACCTGACAGAAAGTCTGTCCCAAGAAAAGAAACTTCTACAAAATTCCTACTAATTGGTTAGGTAACTGTAGTCCAAAAATTAATTATCAAGACAAAAATAGCTCAGTTTCTAAATTTGCATAGATTCATAAAAATAGTTTGTATTTATTAGTGTTTTAACTAGTGGGTGCTTGTTTATTTAGATATTTAAAATAATAGTAAAAAGTTATAAAAAATTAATAAATAAAATATAATATAATATATAATATACTCAGAAATAAAATATATCATGACAATTATAGTCATAGATATTACACTGATTATAAACTATATTTACACATTATATTATGATGAAATTATTTTAAATTATTGGAAGCATTTATCAAAAAAGGATTTTCATAAACAATTTATACCAGTTATTAATTTTATTTTTGGGTATCTTTTATTTTAGTATATTTAATAATATGTAATTATTTATTTTAGTTATCAATCTGAAATAAAAACAATTTGTGAACAATATCCTGTAGAACCTTTTAGGTTCTTAGACCCACCTTTAAAATTAGAATTTCCAACTGCTGTTAGTATGCTTCGTGAGGCTGGAGTTGAAATAGGTGATGAAGAAGATTTATCAACACCTAATGAAAAGTTACTTGGACGTTTAGTTAAAGCTAAAGTATATTTATTGTTTTATCAAATATAACTATTTGTTTCAATGCTAATGTAGTCTAAATAACATTATTATTATTTAGTATGACACAGATTTTTATATTTTGGACAAGTTCCCTCTTGCTGTACGACCTTTCTACACAATGCCTGATCCTGATTCAAAAGTATAATATTACATTTTGTTGTTGCATTTAGTTTCTATCATTTTAAAATTGTTATATTGTTAACAATAGGTTGCCTCAAATTCTTATGATATGTTTATGAGAGGTGAAGAAATTTTATCTGGTGCTCAAAGAATACACGATTCTAATTATTTAATAGAAAGAGCTAAACATCATCAAGTTGGTACGTTGATTTTAGAATTAAGATATTGTATAAATAATGATGTAATATTTTAATTTATATTAAATTTAATATATTTTTGTAGATATTGAAAAAATTTCAGCATATATAGATGCTTTCCGATATGGTTGTCCACCTCACGCTGGTGGTGGAATTGGATTGGAGCGAGTTGTCATGTTGTACATGGGTTTAGACAACATAAGAAAAGTATCAATGTTCCCCCGTGATCCTAAAAGATTAACTCCTTAATTTTTTTCTATTCTTAAAAAGAATTTATTTTGTTATTACAATTAAAAAATAAAAACAATTTAATATATTGTACAATAATCATTTGATAAGATTGAACATTTAATATAAATAAATAATATTCATAATGATAAATGTTTTTTTTTTCATTTTCATTATTCTATCAAAAATAAAAGGTTTATTCTTAAATAATAAAATTGTTGATGTACTATAATCAATACATCCTTAATACTGTTTATTACAGAAAAATAGTTATGAATTTATATATAATTATAATAGATTTTAATAGATTTTTAATAAATTAATAATTAAGGTGCTAAACATATTATTTTCTTTTAATGTATTTTAAAATGTTGGTGTAAATTATGAATAAATGCAATTTAATTTTAATAACAATATTCAATGATTTGATAGATAAGCTTAATAAGAATTATTTGATGAACAATTTAATGATACTGTTAATTACAGAGCAACGGTAAATAAAAATATGTAAAATAGCAAAACATTTGTAAACATTTTTGATACTCGGACGTATTCTAGTTACTACAATTTTCATAATACAGTTTTGCATATAGACTAGCGTAACCGTTCCAATTAAATAAATCATGAAATGTCCGTGTGCAAAATGACGTCAAGAAAGAAATATGATGAAAAAATGGTGAAAAAAAATTAACGTCGTGATAAATTAAAATGATAAAACGTTCGAACCAATTGACGCAAGCACCTATACATTATACAATAACAACATCATAAAACAACATTAATATAATAAATGGTGTGAATACCAAACGGCGAAACGGTTTCAAAACACGAAGGGTGAGGTGATCACCTAGTGAAGTAGGTAATAGCTCAATGGAACAGCGAATTGCCGAATTCGGAGGCAAAAAAAGGTCCGCGTTTTCAACTCGTTTGCCACCTGCAGGTGAAAAATCGTATTTTTTTAATCCATGAACGACGTTCAATTTAAGGTTAGGTTTGGTCCAGTCGTTGCCGATTGAAAGACGGTCACACGGATTACTTCTCTATATATAGGTGGTAGTATTCACTTGCGATGTGCATCATCGAGCTATCCCTGCGCCAACCCTCCTCCCGCAGCGTACTCCTTCACGGTCGCCAAGAGAGGGTTGTGCGCGTGCATGTGTGTGTATGCGAGGGGAGAAACCGAATGAGTGGAGAGAGGACCAAACAAAAACGGCGCGGGATTCCCGGGCGAGAAACCCGCGTTGCGTGGGCCGGGGTGATTCGACGGCGAACGTTCCACGGGCCGAAAACGCCAGTGCGGCAAAAGCGCACCGCCCGGAGAGAACAGACGTCGCGTACAACGCAATAGACTGACGTCACGGTCACGTTTTCGACATTGCGCGGTAGCGGGAGCGGGCCGTGGCGGTGTAGGGCTGGGTGACGAGGGGCGGGGCGGGGTCCTCCGATCCGTTCCGATTGGGTCAATGTCTGGTGTGCGTCCGCCGACGTTTTCCAAAATGGAGTTGTGAATTTTTGATCGAAACGAAATTTACAGACGACACCGTGCGCGAGTGTACGCTCTTCGCATCTTCTTCACCGTTTCGTCCAGGCCGCGCGCACGCAGTGGATTATCGCCGCCTCCCCGTTGACGAATGTTCGCGCGCCGACCTGACTGACACCGCAGTGTGGAAATAATATATTACTATAGTTATCGTTTAATACGTCGACGTTAAATTTCCAATAATCGTACGGTTTTTCTCGTACTTTCGTACCTCCCTTTCCCACGCTCACTGTGTGTATCCGTCTCTTTTCTTTCTCACATTCTCTCTCTTTCACTCCTTTCCGCGGCATATATTGAAATTTTCGCGGCGTCGAGTCCGGTCTGTTAACGCGGCGTACCGTGCGCGCGTGTGTTCGCCAGTGTGTGCGTGTGTGTATAGTTGTTTTCCAATGTGCTACTCTGCCGCCGCCGCCGCCACTGCCGCCACCACTACTACCCTCGGGTACCTGGTAGTAGTGTAGTATGTGGGCCGCGAACCAGGCCAGATAGGCGTATCAGAAAAATTTCTTCTTTTTTTTTTTTATCAATAAAAAAAAATTGTCGAGCAATATATCACGTTTACTTTTTGTCGTTCCGATTTTTCTCCGGCACACATTTTGTACCATCCGTATATTTCTTCCGCGCACCCAATTAATACGAATTATGTAAAACCAAAGAGCTGCCCACCCCTCCGCACGCTCAAGAGTCGACGACGACTATCATCTATTACGGCGATCGACTTCAGAGCTCTTCTGAGAGAACTCAACATTTCACACCATCCGCCGCCTGACGTCGTGTGGTTGTCATGAGCGGAAGGCCCAGGACCACTTCCTTTGCTGAGGGAAACAAAACGTCCCCGAATCCACCTTTGGGCGGAATTAAAGTTATAAGTACGTAAATACACACTCACTCACTCATACGCTTACACTATTAGAAAATTTGTGCCATTACGACTTATTACCTGTACACATTACTTTTTGTATAATTTTGATGTATTTAAGTTAACATCTATACTGTGAAAGGGTAGTTTCTTGTTTGCTTGTTTGTAATTATTATTTGATATGTCTAACACAGTGGCGTATACAAGGGGGGTGTTAAGTAGATATGACACCCCCCTTGAGTCGTATCATATATTACATTATTATACGAATATAGGTAAATCGATAATACAATATGAAATATAAAATAATGCACAATACTAATTACATATATACAGGTTAACATTATCGCGATTGCGACAATATGTGACGAAAATTATTCGTTTACGTTTTCGTGCAACACAAAATGTTAAATAATAATAGGTATTGTAGCATCGAATACTGATATTCGAATAGTCAAATATTCGAATAATTTATAGTAAAGCTATCCGAATTCGAATATACATCACACCTCTATTACAGACATTATGTATACATATTAATTAATTAAAATAAAAGATTTAGTTCGTATGTATTTAATATTTAATAATTATAATTAACACCTCCCTTCAGAAAATCCTAGCTACGCCACTGGTCTAACATGTGTATAAAATATGTTTGTACCAATATGTGATTACCTAAAAACCATTCTTATCGATCCTAAAGTTAAGCTACAGTTTAATAATCAAACATATTCTAGAATTTTATAAATTAAAATTTTTTTGCCTGATATGAAATAATTATTTTGGTTATGTGCAAAGTAATTTAAATTATTTTGATGTCTATTTTATATGGATTAATATTTGATTCTTATTGTAGTTAGTAAAACCGAACATTTAAAATGCAACTTCGGTACTATATTTTTATATTAGACTCATTACTAATGAAATTGATTATTAAACAAAGTAACTAATTTACAAAAGATTTGATTATAGTATCAATTTTTTTCTATAGTCCTAGTTTTTAAGAAATATATCGTTATTTTTCAACAAAGGAATTTGTTATGCTAGGTTTTAGGTTAGAAATGTATATATAAATACAATATAAGTATGTAAACCTCTATTTTAATACATTTTTACAGGTCTGTAGATAATCTACTTACAATTACATTTTCCTAATAAAGCATACTTGATAAAATATTATCAAAGATTCATAATTCTATTATTTACCTATCTAGGATTACATTACAAACACCTAATCTACTTACGATACATTATTTATATTTTGAATTGCTCTTTTTCTTGAGCTTTTAAATTATTTAAAAAAATGAATTAAAGCTTTATTTTTTGTTTTACATGTTATTGATATTCTGTTAGTATATACATATGCCATTCAGACATTCCATAATGAAATAGGCCAAAAATATAAAGGTATAAATTAGAAAAAAGTCTTACTTAAGATCTTACTTGATTTATCCCCTGATTTATCCATTATATATATTATAGAATAATTATTAATATTAAATATTAGATAATAACCTATTCTATCATTAGTTTTATTAATTCCACCGACTTCCTAATTTAATCAACTGTAAATAATATTGATATCTTGCTATAATTTATATTACTTATTTCATTGTTGAAATGTTTTTGACAAAAGTAAAAATTTTAAAAAAAAGTAACATTTCTTAAAGATTAATTAATTAATAAAAATCATTATATAAATATTTAATATTTTTTGTTTTTTTTAATAATAATGCTCTTACCTATTGTAAAGATTATACAAGTTCAATTTATAACCTTTATTAAATCTAAAAATAGACTGATTGATTGATTTTATTGTGCCAAGTTGATTTTGAAATAACAGACCTTTTTTCAATTCAATGTCAACACATTGGCTTGATTATTAGTAAGGAAAATAGTGATGGACTTACATCTGCCTTGTGAGGATTCATCAGTAAATGATGTGGTTCCTATTTGGAACCCAAGTGTAGTAGCAAATGCTGAACGTCAAAGACTTCAAGGTAAAATTTTTCTATGAAAATTTCTTAGTGATTTATATGAAATCAACAATAAATTGTCATTTAGAAATTTTAATGATAAATGATAAATTAAAAAATTTAATTATATTGATACTTCCAACATTATTTTTTAATTTTAACTATTATTTTTTATAATTTGTCTTTGAAAACAAAAAAAGTAATAATCTTATTTTTAATCTTTATTTGTTGAATTATTAAAAAGTTTATTCATTATTAGTTATGCATATTAAATATGTATTTAATTTAATCTATCCTTTAGTTCCATATTTACTATTAAGTTCAACAATTTTTTCTTATCAACATTTTATAATTATGCTTACGATGATATTTTAAAAATTTGTTAAAAAAAATAAAATTTCAAAAAAATTTTAATTTGAATCTATTTGTATCAAGTTTTTTATTCATGATATTTAATCTATTATGTAATTTATTTATTTGTATTGAATTCGTTCCAACCATTTTAAATTTGTTGCTACTGGTAAAATAATTTCCATCATATTAAATTTTTTAAATAAATGTAAAACTAATTGAATTGTTAATAATTAAGTATACCATTATGCTTTCAATATTTTATCAATTAATAATTAACATTTTTAAATCCTTTATAGTTATTAATTATGAAAGATTTAAAAATGTAAACTCATTCTTAGTACCTTTAAATTTAGTTTTATGAACTCATGATAATACAATCTAATTTTTTATAGTTAATTTTAAAAATTTTTATTAAACTTAATGTACTTACTAGTTATATAGTAGGCATTATATAGGATTAATTTTATTGTTTTTAATTTTTAATTTCCTTATTAATATGTTTATTTTATACTTGTCTGCAAATTACCAAGTCTTTTTATTATAATTTGTGATTCTTTTTTTATTTATAAATAGGTATGATAACAGGTATAACTTAGTCTTATGATTAATTTTTTATCTTATCTGTATACATTTAAATTTGTACTTAATTAGTTTTAAATTATTTGTATTTCACTTATGTATTTCAATATTGTTTTTGTTATTGACTATCAACAATATTGTGACTATAAAAATTTTATATCTGATGTTATGCTTATATTTAAATAAATTATGTAGGAAAAATGTATAGGGGAAGAGGAAAGTACTTTTTTTAAGTTGCTTTGTAGGTAGTTCTGATCAGTGATATTATAATTATACTATTTATGATTTTTTTTTTTTCAGGTAAAGATGGCAGTAAAGTCACTACGGTTGTGGCAAATCCTTGCCAAGGCCCCGATCGACCCTTGGAGGTGTCATATACAGATACAATGGTTATTGGTAACGGAAGTTTTGGAGTTGTGTACCAAGCCAAATTATGTGATACAGGAGAAATGGTTGCTATTAAAAAAGTTCTTCAAGATAAAAGATTTAAAGTAAGTGTTTAATTTTAGTTATCTATTATTATCAGTGACAACTATTATAAAACTAAGGTATTACAGAAGCAGCACCTTTGAGTTAGCATTAGTGTCTTGCCTTTGGAGGTGGTGTATATTAATATAGTTTAATGATGGGTTTCAGAAGTTTATTTGGCTTTTAAAAATCATTGCCTTTGATTATTCTCTTCAATTCAAAATAAACAAATTATTTTTAAAAGCACATATGTTATGTATTGTTATGATACCTGTATAAATTTGTAATTATATATCAGTAACTGAGCTATTTTTATAAGGCATGGTTTCACTTATTTCACAGTACTTTTTCGTGGTTCCTGATAAATTAACAATTGTCAATTGATGCACACATTTTGTTTTTATAGTAGTTTTATTTTACAAACAATGATATAACTTATTCAATTTACTTTATAACATAAATTCTAGCACATTTCTTTTATATTAGTCATATATTTTTTTTTTTTTTTTGAAAGTGAGAATTCTAAATTAAAATCATTATTTTAAGTGCTTATATTATGTTTTTAATTAATTTAGATATATTCAGTTGAATATTTTATTTTTATTATTTATTTTAATAGTTTATTTTTAAATTAATTAATTTTATTGGTTATTTTAGAACCGTGAATTACAAATAATGAAACGTTTAGACCATTGTAACATAGTGAAATTGAAATTTTTCTTTTATTCAAGTGGTGACAAGGTAAAATCATATTTAATACTTTTTATTTTTTGAGACTCATCATAATTTATTTTAAATATTTTAGAAGGATGAAGTTTACCTAAATTTAGTTTTAGAATATATACCAGATACTGTGTATAAAGTTGCTCGTCATTATAGCAAATTAAGGCAAACTATTCCGATCAACTACATTAAGGTTTGTAATAAATTATAAACAATAAATAATTTCATTTTTTGTTATAAAATGGTTTATATGATATTATTTTATAGTTGTACATGTACCAGTTATTTCGAAGTTTGGCATATATTCACTCATTAGGCATATGTCACCGTGATATCAAGCCTCAAAATTTATTATTAAACCCTGAAACTGGGGTGTTAAAGTTGTGTGATTTTGGCAGTGCTAAGACTCTTATCAAGGGTGAACCTAATGTTTCCTACATATGTTCAAGATATTATCGAGCACCTGAACTGATTTTCGGTGCTATAGACTATACAACAAAAATTGGTAATTATTATTTTTTACAAAAAAAAAAAAAACAAAACGGTATTTTAGTTAAATCAATAATATTATCAAATACTTAAAGTAATAAGTATTAACAAATATTTGATGTATTTACACATTGACTGCCTGCGATCCAAATGTTGTTATTTATTGTAAAGCCAAATGGGTGATCTATGACCTAACTTATAATATTGTTTTGAAGCAACTTTTTGATGAATTTATGTGTTATATTTTATTATGGCTTGGAGCTAGAATAATATTATTTTTATCACGGCATAAAAAAAATAAAATAGATTGTTTTGAAGAAAATCATCAAAATATTCAAACTTAGTTAAGACATGTATTTTAATAAAAAATGTATATTATATATGTAAATACTGAATATAATAGTCACAACAAAAATAAGTTATTACTGAAGTAATATAATAAATGATAAATGTTTTGGAAATGGTAGTGTAAAATAAAATAGCCAAAAATTACAATAAAACCTGTAAAAATCAGTGAAGCAACAATTTTATTTATTAATATTGGCAAAGCTTAAAACAAGACCAAGAGCAGCCCATGGTTAAAAATAAATTATCTGTAGGCCATATGACCGCTGGCGACCCAATATATTTTTCTTCTGTGTATTATACAAGATTTACCGATTAAAACCATATAAATATTATCAAAACTGTCATAGCTATTTTTATAAATGCAAAGAGTTCTGATAAATGGGCATAAAATTGTTTAGTGTTGTATAAGCTGAACTGACTTGGATCGCCGGTGGTCATGTGGCAGTTAACGCATTAATATAGTACTATACAATATATATGTATCTGAACTTAATTTACGATATATCAATATAAAATCCATCATGATATCTACATACAAGGTACTTTATGGAATTTTTGCTGCTTAATTAATGTTTAAATCTTTACTATTGTTAATACTATAATACTAAAAATACATATTGATATTTTTATTTATTATTTTAAATAATTTAAAAATAATAACAGTTAATGCATTAAATATTATATGTTAATTTTTATTTTACCAAATATTGTAAAATAGTTTTTTAATTAAAATGTATACTTAATTTAAAAAAATAATTTTTCAGATGTATGGAGTGCTGGTTGTGTATTAGCAGAACTCATGCTAGGTCAACCAATTTTTCCAGGTGACTCTGGTGTTGATCAATTAGTTGAGATAATTAAAGTTCTAGGCACACCAACAAGAGAGCAGATTAGGGAAATGAATCCTAATTATACCGAATTCAAATTTCCTCAAATAAAATCGCACCCTTGGTCAAAAGTAAGCTATTTTCTTGTATTAGCTTTATTTTTAATTAAATTAACATGATATTTTATTTAAATTATAAACTTAAAGAGTTTGCTTTATATAATTTTTATTACTTTTTATCTCTACTGATAATTATTCAAAAACAATTTTTACTTTTATTATTAATTAATTTGGAATTTTGTTGTATTAAAATTGTATATAGATGTAAGTTTTTGTAATAACAAATAATTAAGTACAATAAATAAATATTAGGCATTATAGATTTAATGTATTAAGACATTTTTATAAGCTAGATATTTGATATATTTTAATGTAGGTCATTGAAGAATAAAAATTAAAAATATTGTTGAGCAAGTTCAATTTACAGGGTTCATCAATTTCTTAATTTTGTAAGCAGTATAATTTATGTTATCCAGTAATTATAACAAAATGAAATTAAGATTAAATGAAGATTAATCTTATATACATATATATATATATATATATAAATAATCTAAAAATAATTATTAAATATTTTTAATAATTTTTATATAAATAAAATATAAAAGTACTTGCTTTTTGATAATTTTCTGAATAAATTCATTCATAAATATTTGCATTAAAAAATTATTTCAAATAAAACTGTTAATTTTATTTCAATTTTAGTTTAATTTATATTAATATTATTAGAAGTATTAAATAATTTTTACTAGATTATTTTTTAATTTTATAATAATATTTTATTTTCATTTTTTTAACTAACTTTTCATGTTTTTGTTTTATTTAATATTATTTTATCAAGACATGTTAGAGGTAATCTATAGTTTAATTTTTAATAAACATATGTACCTTGCAGTTAATGCTGCAACGCATGTCATTCCCAAAAAACAGCAATGTTCATCAAAAAATTAGAGTAAGTCTAAAAATGACTATGCGACTGTTTGAACATCTAACCGATTTTTACTGAAATATAACCATTTGACTCACTCTTTGTAATTAAAGAGTTTTAACAATGTGCTCATACATGACATTATGACATATTTTAGTTTATTATTATTAATATTTTAAAATGGTGATTTCAGTTTTACAAAATAATCAGTATTTATTAAATTAATTTCTTTGGTAAATTTTTAAATTATAAAGCATATGCTCGTAAAAGTGGTATTCAACTTGTTATTTACTGCTACATTTGATAGTTAATTGTAGAATTTAAAAGCAATTAGAGCTCTAACATGTCTTTTGAATTGTTATATTTATTTAATTTAATATTTTAACTTCAATTAAGTGTGTGTTTGAAGCGAAAATTCTGTGTTAATGATAAAGGCGTCATTTATAAAGGTTTTCCGTATGCGGACGCCAGCAGAAGCTGTTGAATTGGTGTCTGTATTACTTGAATACACTCCATCACTTAGGGTGTCTCCATTACAAGCATGTGCTCATGCATTCTTTGATGAGCTACGAGATCCACTACATAGATTACCAAATGGACGGTCATTACCTCCACTTTTCAATTTTACACAACTAGGTACTTAATATTAATATTTTGTTAGGAATTTTAAATTTAGTTTCTATTCTATAGTAAATACTATGATAATTTTTATTAGAATTGAGTGCAGCTGGATCTTTAAAATCTGCTTTGATACCTAAGCATTTAAAAGATTCTGTTGGAAGCGGAAATGAAGCATCTGCTGCTAGTGGTGGACCATCCACCCCTGAAAATATTAATCCAGATAGTCCAAGTCATCCGTCATCATCGACTACTTCCAGGCAACCTTCAAATGAAATTGTTTAAAAGGTAAAGGTTAATGTTGTATGTAAGTAGTTATTAAATTGGTTTATTTAAACTTATTATTATTACTACTATATATTTATATTAATAATATTAATTTTAAACACATAATAAACTGAAAGTATTCTACTACCAATAGCATCGTCCTACATGGCAGAATACTTTTCCATTATTGAATCACTCCATCTTACCTCCAACTTACAACCCAACAAGTTCCTCATCACTACTGACTCCCTCTCTTGTCTATTGTCTCCCTTATACAATGTATTCTAGTCACTTCCAAACTATCTACTTTTAAAAATTAGGGATATTTTGTCCTACCTCAATGGTAATGGCTTTAATATCCAATTTCTTTGGATTCCAAGGCATACTGGCATTTCTCGTAATGAAATCGCTGAAACTTTAACTAAAAACATAGTGTTAAATCAACTACCATCCAACAGTTTAATTCCCTAGTCAAACTTCTGTCCCAGACTTAAATCCTATGATCAGCATCTGTGATCCAATTCTTATAACAATTTTTCACCACACTTGGCTACTTGGTACAGAACCCTAAACCCCACTATTCCATCTTAGCCATGGTTTTATAAATACATTTATCTTGCTAAGTAATTAGCTCATTTGTTCGTCTTCACTTTGGACTTCTCCCTTCACATTCTTTCTAATTATTACTCAATGGCTCGCATCATTGTACTTTTGCTCATGCTCTAGCTATCTGTGATATTAACTATATCCTTTTTGACTGTCCTGCCTCGTCAGTTGAGCACCTATGCCTTTTTTTGCTGCTTCACTCAACTTTCCCCTTAATTCTCATTACTTACTTTCTTCTCAATCACCTGTAGCCATCACTTCTATAATCACTTTCATTGTTAATTTTGAGCTGCTATATAACATTGCTCTATAAATAATTGTTGAGACTATTTGTTACACAAAGTTTCAATAAAAAAATAAATAATGTATTTAAAATTATATTTATCTAAATAAGGGTTCTATTAATATTATGCTAGTTGTTTGTATCATAAATTTTTCCTTGTGTATTCTTATTTATTATTATTATTATAATTATTATTTAGCAATTTTAATTAAGTAATTAAAATAAATTACCAAATTAAAATTTTTCAATCTCCTTGTTCTATTATTTCTTACTAGTTATTGTTTAGCTATACCACGATTTATATTAAATAGAGTTGAACAGTTTGATTTAAACTTAATTTACAAATAATTGAATGTCATTATTTAATGAAATATTTGCGGTATTCCATTTGCTTAATTAATTTATATTAACATTTTTGTCAATGAAATTAATTTCTCATTATCAAATAATGTGATGATATAAGCTATTTTAATTTGATTTATTTATCGCTATTTCTTTTAGTTAAAAATGTATACATTGAACTAAACAATATTGAATATAAAATTATATAAATTTTACTACTTTTAATCGGTTTCTTTATTGATTCTCTATTTTATAAAATTTAGATATACCATAATAATCAATAATATACATTATCTATATTTTATGAATCTAATTACAATCACTATGTACTGTTCCTTTATGAAAACATAAGTAATCAAGTTGATTTTTTATATTATTTGTTTTTAAAAATATTGAGATTAAAACTAAATTAAACGTTTTATTTGTTCCTTTCATTATCAATGTCTGATTTTATTTATTATTAATTAAAGTTTAAATAATGTCATTAGGTGTGTTGATTATTTTTGTAATAGTTGTAACAATCATAACATAGTTTTAAATATAAAATCTTCAATTGTTTTTATTTGTATGTAATCACATTAAACTTCATGTATCCTAAACATGTATAGCTTATATATCCAATTTTTTAACTTCTATTATACACTAGTTTTATAGTTTTATTTACAGATTACCTGTCATATGTAGATAAAAACAAACTAATAGAGCTGTGATATGTTTTTTTATTATTTAAGTTAAAGACATTAGAAATTTAACCTCAAAATGTTTTTGTATTTAATAAAAACAATAACAAATTATTTATAATTAGACTTCTATTAATGGTTAAAATCATAGATTCTTAACCTTTTGTGGGCCATAGACCCTTTTGAAGCATAAAATCATGGACCCCCCCTCCCTCTTTTAAAAAAAAATATTATTTTTATTTTAATTATTTTTTAATGATTAATCTAAGACTTTATTAAACTATTGTGAATAATCACGTTTTCTTATATTTAAAAATAAGTCTCAATGTGACATTTGTTGTTGTTTTGATTGTAATATTGTCTTGAAATCTGGAACCGTATTGGACAGAATAACATAATATCGTTGTTAATGTCCTATCGATTTCTGATTTTAGTTTCAGTATGGGTTCCGTTTTCAATTGAAATGCTCGTTAGATTGTATTGCCATATAAATTTTACAATCGCAATAACTGTATATGGCATATAAGATTATTATAATTTGAGTTTGATATTTAAAAATATTGCTGTCTTTCAAGTGGCAGAATGCGGATAAGACATTATTATTGTTATCTTATAAACGCAATAGAAACAAATTTATTTTTGGGTTATTTATAAAAAAAAAAAAAAACCATCCCATGGACACCCGAGTAACCATCTGCGGACCCCTGATTAAGAACCTATGGTTTAAATAATTGTTATGTATCAACATATTAGAGATAAAATATAACTCTTGCTGGTATTTGTATATGTTATTGTTTCACATCTATCTTTAATTATGTTAATTTAATTATTATTATTATTCTCCTTTGTTTTTCTTCCAACTATTTGGAGTTGGTCAACTTTGTCCTAAACTTTCAATTTTCTACACCTCCTATACACACACCAACAGCCCTCTTTCTCAATTGTATCCAACCATTTATTTTTTGATCTTCAATAAAATTATAATTGAAAGTAAGCAGATACTAATATTATTTTCAACAGTGTTGTATCTCAATTTCAAAAAACAAAAAAGAACAACCTTGTCTTTCAACAAAGAATACTTGTAATAAATTTTTTTTTTTTTTTTTTCAGCGCGACCAAAAATATGCCTTGGCAATCAAATCACACAAACTTATTAAGGTAATGTATATGTACACCAAAATAAAAAACTTATAACAAATCTGTCATATCTGTATTGTTTTTATATTTATTTTTAAAAAATAAGTTTTATTAGGTTATCAATTTTGTTATTAGGTAAATTTTTTGATACCTAAACTCATCTTTTAAAATAATGGATTACACAGTTATAAAAAATTGTATGGTCATTTCCTCTGCAACTAACAACTATTGTTTTTCTTTGTTGATTAAAGTTTTTAAAAAAAATTATTGAATCCATTAACTAGCCTCATTTTATTCAAATATTATTATGTTGTTATTTTTCCTAAAAAAAAAAGTTTTATTTAAGTTATGTGTTTTTTCTAAGGTTCTTGTTAAAACGTGTAGCTTTTTAAAATTAAATCCAAATTTTCAACTATTTCTCAATTACTTGCTTTTTGTGTTATTTTTAAGTCCAAAGATATATATAATTTTATAAACAACTAAATGTGTATTAATATCTACTATAATAAACTTGTGTATATAATGCAAATTATTATGGTTTTATAGTGTTAAATATATATTGCTATGTGCATGTATAAACAAAGGGGTAGGTCTAAAGCTTTATAATCACAATGTGTAGTAATAATAATCTAGACCATCTATTAATTAATAAATTACAAATAGTTTGTACATATAAATTGTGCATTGTTTTAAAAAAACTTTCTTTGCGCATACCCAACGTTCCTGAAATTTTTTGTAGAAAGTTTAACTGTAAATTTTTTTATAATAATTTCACAAATAAAAAAAATCACTCACATTATTGTTCAGGCTATCAATATTATTAATATATAATTATATTTATTGAATACCTTAATTCTTGAAGCTACTACTCATACAATTTCTTAAATAAGAAAATGTTTAAATTGTTAAAGTTCATATAGGTCACAATCATTAAAATTATCAAAACTATAATTATATTTAGTTAAAAAATAAAATAGCTATTGTAAAGTACTGTGCTTCCATATCTTCCTTTTCTCTCTTTTTTTTTTTATGGACTTACTATTTTTGTGTTTTGTATTTTGTAGTAATTGCAATTTATAAATGATTTCAATTTATTTGTCAAAAATAAAATTAATTCCATTGTATAAATGTTTGAATTTAATTTATTTATACAAACTTATGTTTCTCTTGATGATGGGTATCTTTAAATTAATTTAAATTCTGATTATTTTTTTTTTTTTTTTGGTCATACTCTAGGGATCTTTTCTCAAGACTGTAGAAGTATTGGAAAGAAAACACGCTTTTTAAATTTAAATAGACTTATCATTTTAATAATTAACTCAAAAATTTGGAATATTATAAAATCCATCTTGTGGTATAAAAAATTATATACAAATCAATTACCACATGCAATTTATCCTATTGGCACATATTTTCAAATGATACAGATCGATGTATGTGTGTAAAATATAGAAACCATTAACTTTGTGTATAATCGTTTAATACATATTACATTTAATCCACCAAAATTATTTAGACAAATATTCAAGAATAATATGCTTTGGGCAATGTATAATCTATTAATCGTCATTTATGGTATATGTATGTTATTAATTGTCTTAAGCCCCTTGCGTTAAATGCTAATAACCATATTCTCTATAAAAAAAATATATAAACAAATCATAAATATGTTGTTTTTTTTAAGCTTACACGAAAAAAAAATTATATAATTATAACGATATAAATGATACTACTGCGGCGTAGATACAATTTGTTAGAGCTCAACGTTGTTATATTAAAGAACAATTATTTTATTAGACATATATAGATGCTCTATATAACTGTGTAAAAGTGTAAAGTATTTAACATTAATATTGTATATGTATAATACATTGCATAGACATGATTAGTTTGTGGCTAGTTTAACATAAAAATTTTGAGTTTTTTTTTTTTATTATTATTATTTTATTGTACTATGTACACATTTTTAATACTAACTTTGATTATTTTTTTTTTCAATTGGTTGTTCTAATATACGTACATAATATGTATATTTATTTAGTGTTCTTTTTGATATTATATTATTAAAATCATTAAAATGTATACAAATTAAAAATATGTTCTTGTCTCTCTAAACTTTTTTTCTGTCATGTATTATTTATTTATATTATATTCACATGGACTATCCTATATAAATTATTGATTTTGCAGTTTTGTTTAGAAAAATAAACCAAATTTAATATACATTTTTTTTTTTTATGAAATTTGATTGGTCATTTAATGTTAATTTAATATAAATAATGATGTATCCAACAGCATTGATGTATTAAATATTAATGTCAAGCCAGAAAATTTTAGTTACAAAAAAGATTTTGTTAGTCCATAGCATATATATAAAAATATAATTATATATTATATATAATATTTATACATATGTATAAATTATGTGTATTATATATGCTATATAATGTATGTGTAATATTTATATGCGTAGAAAATAAATAATATACATATATTTCTATATTTATAGTACCTATTATTTCTTATATTATACTTTATTGATAACTGTTTGAAGACTATCCATACAAAGGAAGATATGGATATTTATTCGTTGCAGATATACCTACTATAGTTATTCTATTAAAAAAAAATTTACGCCAAAATAATTTTTTTAATTTATTAACATTGGATTTACTGAAAAATTCTTTGTTGGTTGTTCATTTTCTAGCATTTTATTTTATTACTTTTCGATAAAAATAATATGCATTAAATTATTTTTTTATATTATGAATAACAAAAGAATATATTTTATGATCAAAATGTAATTAACTATAGTTTATTATAACTATTCTCAATTTGAAGAAAGATCAGATCTGTTGGGAATCAAAAATTCTAAAAAGAGTACTTACGTTAGAAAAAAATTATGCTGTTCGCTGAAAAAAAAAAGTTACGTTTAAAATAATATTCTGGTCTTAAAAAAATATTGTGAACTAGTGAAATCGGATTTTTCGGTTTACTCAAAGGCGAAACTACGGGTCAGGCCAGTCAGGACATGGCCTGTAGGCCCGCTCCGAAGGGGGGGGGGGGTATCTCACCCCCAATAAAAACACCAGTCGGCAGTCTGACTTGTTTCATTATAGCCTAGAAGGATCTCATTTTACTTATGAAAAACAAATATTAAATATTTGGTAATACAGTGTATACACGAACAAAATTTATATAACTACTTATTATATACATATAAATAAATATATAATTAAATTGTCGATTTTAAGAACGTGCGACACTGATACATATATACATGTTATAAAGTAAAAATGCGACTACATATAATTAATTATACTATTTACATTGAGTAACAAAATTGTAGTCGGCATTTTTCATATTATTCACTTCCCCCCTTAATTTTCATCTTTGGGATGGCTCTGATGGCCTGACCTAATGCTGGTTTTCCACTAAACGAACAGTTGTGTTTATGTTGTGTCTGAGTCTTCAACAACCTGATAAACAAAAACAAAACCAAAACTTTTGTTTCCATCAAACGGGCTACATTTTGTTCGAGCTTGGTTTTTGTATTCGATCCTTTTCCTATGGTTGTTACGAGTTTTTATTTATTATTATTATTATTTAATTATTAAGCATAATAATATATATATATATATATATATAATAATGAATACATTTATTCAAATAATTTTACTCAAATACTTTACAACACTGGCTATACACCAAATTACTTAAATTAATTATATTATTATTATATTATTACATTATTACTTTCGTTTACTTACTTAGTCTAGTATTTAAGTATAGAATTCGTAATTCGTTTCAGACACAACACGACCGTTTCCACTAAACAGACTCGAGTTTCAAAATACATCGAAACCTATTGATGTTAGCGCTTCCGAGCGGGACACGAAAAACAAAGCTTCTACTGTCGCAAAATACGTCGATCTTCAAAATGTTTGCGAAAAGTTCCCGTTTTGTTTTATTCGACACGAGTTTGTGTTTTGTTTTTTTTTTGTCCGTTTAGTGGAAAACCAGCATAATACTAACTAAAAATATATATTTTAATAATTATTTAGACATTATAAGTAATATGTTTATACATTTAAATGTATTCATTTGTACGTTTCATATAATACTATAATGTAGTATAGTAGCGTTTCTCAAACTGTGGGTAGCGAGAATTTTTATTAATTATACAGATTGTAAGAAATTTTGTTTTTTTAAATTGTATAGACTATAGACTATAAAACTAATAGAAAATATTTAAATATTAATAATAATAATAATAAAATTCTTAATTATTATTATTATTATTATAAAGTAGTAAATAAGTAATAAAATAGAAAAAATTTGTTTTTTGAAATTATTTTTATTGATTCTGTAAATGTAAGACTATGGGGTTGCGATAGATTTTTGGAAGAAAATTTGGGTCGCAGTCTTAAAAAGATTGAGAACCACTGATATAATTTAATATATAGGTACATTTGGTACAAATAAGGATTATAATATAAGTCTATTCTATGTACTCGAATAATTGGTTTTATTAGTTATTGTTTAATTAAGACATTTGACGTTTATTTTTTTAATTCTTCTATAGAAAATAATAGTTAATTTTACGTAACAAATCGCCAATCGGTAATGTTTATTACCTTTAGACAATTATCATCGATTCTACGTACTTAAATATTTTCATATAATTTCTATAAGTATAAATTCTTATTTTTACCAGCGATTGTTCACAAATCACAAGATTCTTACATTACAAAATCATGGAAAGGTAATTATTGTTTAAAATATAATTTCATATTAATTATTATTATTATACACATTAGTATAAATCACCAAATAATTTATTTATTATTAACCCCCGTTAGTCGCGTCGCTGTCTAAAAGACCGGTCATTTATAATTTTTCAAATTACTTGTTGTAAGTAATTTCTATTATTTCGTGTACTTTGATACCTTCAATGTCCAAGTTAAGCTATCATTTGTTATAATATAAAATTAATTTTTGTTTAGATATATTGTGTAATATAGGTACTGTAATGAATATAAATAATATATTATTATAATTAATAGATTTAAGTATTTTATACTTATTTATAATTTTAAAATAAAAACTAATACTATTAATTATTATTTTTATTAATAGATTTGTTATCCGAAAATTGAACAAAAATGTATCATTTCCGCCAATTTCATGTACTAATACTGACAAAACTAATTTAGCTACATCAATTCAATTTCCTCTAAAGTACCTTTAACTATTGATCAAAATAACGCTGAAATCACTAAAACTTTTACCAAATGACCCTGTTTTACCACTTCCAAAAGAGCGTATAGAGCGTAATGTAAAACTATCTGAAGGGCCTTGTCAAGTCCGTCTTCTTTCACATCCAAAACTTTTTTGGGAATAGACTTCATAGCTTTCGAAATACATAGTATGATAATTATAACTGGTTGGAATACAGTAAAAGTAAAAATGCAGTATTCTGTTTTTATTATCGAGCATTTTCTTTAAATAATGTGGCAATTAAGGGTTATATTGATCAAGCATTTATAAGTAAAGAACATTCAAATTGAAAAGATGCATGTAATGGTTTTAATCCCATGTGAAATCAGTATGTCATTCAAATTGTGTATACTCGTAATCGATATTTAAGTCAGGTGTCTCTATCGATGTTCAATTAAAAATTCAAAACGAATTAGATTTAAAAAATAGAGATAAAGATCGTCTTCATAACAGAGAAGTTTTAAAATGTCTAATTGATATAGGTAGTTATATTGTTATCGAAAACGGGACGATTATTTAGAGGCCACGATGAAAGTTCTAAAAGTATGAATAAAGGACTCTTCTTAGAAACTGTCAATCTATTAAAGAAATATAATCCTATAATTCAATCTCACTTAAAAAAAAATGCCCAATATTTAAGTAGTAAAATACAAAATGATTTAATTAAGTCTCTACATAACGTTATACGTTAGTTAGTTTCAATTATGACGAATGAAACTAGTGATTGTGGTCATATAGAACAATTGGCTATTGTCCTAAGGTACTTAGATGATGAACAAAACAAACCAATTGAAACATTTATATGTCTAAAACAGTTAGTGTCAACTACTGTAGAATTTATATTTAATGTTATAAAATTAATAATTTTGGAATTAAATTTAAAATAGGAATCAGTAGTATGTTTTTTTTTTTTGATGGAGCAGCATCAATGGCTGATAAAATATCTGGTGTACAATCAAAATGAAATGAACAAAATACGAAAATACTTTATGTGCATTGTTTGAATCTTGTATTTCACGAATAGAAATTTTGATCATTTTCGACTTGGACGTTATTCAAATGGTTTAAAATTTTACTGAGGGAAGTCCAACACGCCATGCGATATTTGAACAAATTAAAAATATTATAAATTTAAAATTAAAATCATTAAAATCTTTATCCACAACCAGATGGGCATGTAGAGCAGAGGCAGTATCTGCAATTCGTGAAAACTTTTCAGCTATAATAAAAACAATAACTGAAGTAAATAAAATAATGAAATTGCCTGAAGTCAAAGTTAAAGGAAAAGGAATTATTATGCATAGTCAGAGTTTTAATTTTAATATTTCTTTAGAATTAATGCATCCTATTTTACAATTATTTCTGAAAGTACCTAAGTCAAAAACTTCAAAATCCTTTAATTAATTTATTGGTTGCAATAAATTAAGAATCATTGTTCAGCTTTACAACAATTACGTTGTAATAATGATTTCTATGATAAAGCATATACAACAGTTTAAAAAATGTACAAAGATATGATATTGATGAACCATCGATTAATTAAAAAATCAAAACATTTTGATGACAAAATAGATAATGAACATATTTTCAATACAAAAAAAGGAAAAAATTCGTGTTACTGTTTATATTCCCATGTTAGATTCTCTTATCTATGTTATGATGTCTAGAGAAACCAAGATACAATATTATTAATCACAGCAGTCGGGAAAATGTTAAAACTTGACTCAAATAAAGATGATATTAAATTATTATCGTCATATTTTAATATTTCGGAAGAGGAATTAATATCTGAAATCCGTCTACATTATTTGTCTCGTAATTTAGATTGTATAACACAACTTGTTAAACAAGATTGTAGGACATGGCTAGATTGGTTCCGAAAAAATGAAATTGATTGTATATATAATAATTTTATAAAAATTATTAGATTTTTGTGTGATTTCAGTTACCAGTGCTTCTAGTGAAAGAGCATTTTCTAAATTCACTCATGTAAAACTAAACTTCGATCCACCATGAAACAAGACCGTTTGGATGAACTTATGCTACCATAAATGGAACAGTCTTTGACTAATAACGTTGATGTTGAGAATGTCATTGAAGAATTTAAAAAATTAATACTATTTAATCGTCGTATATTATTATAATTTTTTATTTATTATAAAATACTTAAATTGTGAAAAAATATTCATTATAATATAAATATATGTATTAAAAAGAATTACAATATACAATTGTTAATAGAAATATTTTTTATGTTTTTCATTTGGCCCGAATTAATAAAAGTGTCTAGTTTCGCCTGTAAGTTTACTCGTATCGTCCATATATTGTTATGAATATATTAACCGATGAACCTTGTTTAAATTCTTGTGGTTTTACAAACACATTATTTTATTTATTGTTTGGCTGTTATAGATACAAATTTGGATGTAATTTGTGCATTCGTTGTTAACGGCAACCAACCAAACGTGTAAAGCGGATGAAAGAGTGGTTGCTATGTATCGGCTCCAAACTAAGTATATTTTTTCTAAAAAAACTTCCTCCATGACCAAAAACGATTCCCAAACATGTCTATTATCTAAATTAATGGGTGAGAGATGATCTTTTACTGCCATATCTGCGAATCTTACACAATATTGCTCGTTAAGGATTATCACTGCCGCAACACATATAATATATATTATTGTTTCCGTAATTCGAGTAAGTCTTCTTCTATAACAAAAACCCTACGGTTAAGAAGTTCGCCGAACATCATTGTACGGATTTCTTAAGTAGTTTTTTTTAACCTTACTCATCATATATATCCAATGCAATACATATCATTGGTTGTTTTGGCTTACATTTTTATTGAAAAATAAATTATTACGTTATTTTCGAGATGTTTTCTATAGTTCCTTTTCAATAAATTACTATTTAAGTTATGCCCTGGAATAAATCCTTTTAACTTTTTTACAAAATATATTCAAAAAGAATTTATGAATTGAAGAAAAAACACCCTAGTATATTTATAGTAAACGGTATTAGATTACTAGAGTGCAATATTTTTTGTAATGAAATTGGTTTACAATTTCGTCTGTTTAACAATTAAATATGTACAACAAATGTTATTAATGTTTTCATTTTTATACAGAGCTTAAGACGAAAATAAACAGTTATAAGAAATAATTGTTTGGATATTTACTTTTAGTAAAATACTGTAGGTTCGTCTGTTATGTCAAGTAGGATTTAGTATCGACCTAAAATTGTTTCATTGATATAATAATTTAAGAATAAGACTCAATAATTGACAAGTTCAATGCAAATGTTTATTGGAATATATTAAGGTAATTGATGTATAATTTATTTATTTTATTTTAATCTCATAAACATAAAATATAATACAAGTAAATTCATACTCTTCATAATTAAAATGGCACAAACTGTTGTATCAATGTATAACTTAAAAGCCTCAAATTTCATGTGTTACCTTAAATTTATATTACATCGAGTTTTATGCTTATAAAATAAAACACATAAAAAAATACAACAATGTTGTCTTGGAATTATAAAATGTTAAGTATAACTATATTAAAATATCTCAGTAGGTAGTCATATTTATTCAACCGCGTTTGAGTCCTGATTAATTTATAATAACTAATGAGTATCGTTGAATTCTAATTAAAATGCTTTGTAATTTATTTGCATGCAAGAAATACATTTAAAAATCGGAAATTTTAGTTAAATATCAATAATTACAGATTAAAATTCATCCACATAAAATTTAGCTAAATCTAAAAAATTTCATAAATGTAAAAAAAAAAATTGGTTTTTCTTCATAAGTTAATCTAAAAAAAAAAAATTACATTACTACCCATTATATATATCTGAATTTGAATTTAAATAATACTAATAATGTAGTCAGAATATTAGAATATTAAATGTACAGTATCGCATAATTAACAGGAACATAATTATAAGTAAATTTATATTACAGTTACTAAATTATTGATGTATACAACACTAAATATTATTCAGTTTACAAATGAATAACAATTTATTCATCAAAACGACTTTTTTTGGGTTCTGAAGTCTCTTCTTCATTTCCAGATTTTCTTTTTAGTGCCAATATTTCTTCATTACTGACTTCTTGGTCACCACTATCCGTCAGCGACTCTTTTGCATCACTTACTTCGTGTTCACTATCAATCGTTTCCATCATATCTGTATCAGTTTGTTCATTTCTTATTGATCCGTAAGTAGGCTTCACTTTATCAACCCTATAATCGTCTTTTTCAAATTCCTCTATGACACAGTCATACGTTTCTTGTACAATTTTTGCATTCTCTTCTGCAATCAATTGTTCATCACGCTTTCTCAAATCCTCCATATTATTAAATATTTCAAAATCTGGTTGTTCATCAGTTGCTTTTTCTTTGTGGTGTATCATAATGATGACACTATAGTTCTGGAAATAATCATCAACTTTAAGTCTAGATCCATGTACAACTTGAATTTTATTAAGTGAAAATGAGTATAGATCTAACTCATCATCCTCATTGCTGGAAATAAGTATTCTATTATCTGCCATTACATCAGGTAAAACCATATTTAATTTTTTTTTTAAAATTAGTTCATCCAATTGTCTTACTGTAATACGTGTTGTATCAAGACGCAAAATAAGTTCTCCATGAACGGAACATACAAAACAGTTTGGATTTGGTGATTCAAGTTTTTTATCTTTAACCAGAATTGCTCCTTTGTGATTGGGTTTTGCTCTTAAAAACACACTTTGACAACGTTCATAATTTTTACTTAGTGCTCTCAATGCATGTATTACAATTTGGCCAGCAATTATTGCATTTGCAGTGGCAATGGCTGGAATAATATTGCCGGCCATAGATTTTATGTCAAAATGGCTCTTCAATGGTATTCCAAAAATATTAGATCGAAGATTAGTGCAAGAAACAATAAAGTTCATAAAATCATCATCATCTTTATCCCAAACTAAATTTTTTCCATTTGTTAGGTCCAATTTATTTTTAATCTTTACAATAGAATCCTTAAACATCGATATATATTGAAACAAATCTAAAATTTTTAAATCTGATTCATGACTATAATCAGCATAATCTTCCTTTAGGATTGATTCAGACATAAGTATTGGTTCAGTTCTTTTATTTTTAAACAAATCTTTCATATTTAATAAGTATTGTATATCATCAATGAAAATTTTTTTGAACATTTTCGTAGGATCATAATTGTTTTTTATAGACCACTCTCGAGCCGATATTTTGGGTAAATCATCTTTTTCATTAACTTCCATAGAAACATCATCAAGTGAAGATTCTCCAAACAGTTGATTAAACAAAAATTTAGCCCAAATTATGCAGTGAATAGGTTCTTTAGGAGTGTTTCTTATAGTACACATAGGATAAGACTTTGGTTCAGGTTTAGGCAAGCATTCATAACACAAACTTACTCCTTTTTTAATAAACTCAACTTGACCACTATAACCCATTGTACCAGATTCAATGAGAGGAATATCAACTGAAAGGCACATGCGGTTAACATGAGCTCGTGCTTTTTTATTATCTAAAGCATTTATAACAAGTTTAAATCTACTAAAAAAACTCGCATCGTAATTCTGATCCATAATGTTACCCAAGTAAGATTTAATATTAACATTTGGATTAAACTTCAATACACTCTCTCTTGCAACATGAGATTTAGCTTTTCCTACTGACTGCTTATTGAACAAGAACTGTCTGTTTAGATTGCTGACCTCAATTGTGTCCAAATCAATGACTTCTAGATCGCTGAAACCCGTCAACACAAGATTCTTGAGCACTTCACAACCAATACCTCCGGCACCAACTAAAAGGATTTTGGAATCTTTGATGAGATTTTGCATTTCGGGCTGAAAGACACCCACAATGGTAGCCGCCATGATTGGAGCTGTGGAGACAAATTGATTATAATGTATATTGCGTAAAAATACTAGTCTTTACTTACATACCGGTATTTCTTAAAGTTGAAAATGGTACGTAGAAGATGCAGATCGCAGAGTGTGGTAATGGAACGGCGAATGACAAAAAAAATTGTACAACAATGAAAACGTGCAATGGACTCGATCAAAGAACGAATAATTGTTGACCGACGCCGAGATTAGTTAACTACGACTCCAGAACAAGCGCTATTTAATATTCATCAATTGGCGAACGGCGATTGGTCGATACGGAACAATATTGATAACGATTGTTAATAAACCATGCCGGTCACCGGTAAACATGAATGGCAGAGTCGACATGGAATAAAAAACAAGCGGATATCCCAATAGCAGACAACATCGTTTATATGTAGTGTGTATACCTTTATCACTTGTAACCACGAATTAAGATATTAATATTAATATTGTTTCTATTATTACATATTTAAAAATTTACACTTATTCGTACCTGTAATCAATGATTATCTCCGCGATATAAAACCATACACATATGAAGATATGAAGGGCGCTTAAAACACTATTACAGATAAGATGGTTCTCTTATTAGATCATATACTATGGATGGAGCTATTCCCATTTAATCAATGAAATAAAGTTGATGCCAATATAATAATGATGAGCGTAATCGACATATACAATTGAGTTAACTCGATTATAAAAATAATCGAGATATTTTGATTATCAAAATAATAATTCGATTATATAACCGAGAGATTATTTTGGGGTGATATCTCGTTTATTAAAATAATAATTCAATTATATACCTAAGAGATTATTTCGAGTGATACCTCGTTTATTTTAAAAACAATCAATTCTTGATCCCGAATTGTATATTGAATGAAAAAAATATTTTGAATGATTTTCATGGTTCGATGGAGGGAGGGAGGAATACTATTTTTAATCTTCATAACCGAATACATAAATAATAATTGTTGACTTTGAGTTTTTGTATTTTCGACTCGTGGGACTCGTTATTGTACAAATATTGATGGGTATTGACGGTTATTCTTAGTTGTTTGACATAAATATATAGCCAGTGCTCGACTTGAGGGGGGGACGCATGGGGACGAAGTACCCCAACTAATTTTCAGAAATTTTAGCATCCTCCTACTATTATTATGTTATAATTATAACACTTTACAAGTTTTGGGGACGCTCTTTTTTTTAAAAGTAAACACAGACCTCCTTTAATTTTTCCAAGTCGAGCACTGTATATAGCTATAATTTTTGAATTACTCAACCACAAAACGACAACAATTTCTCGGAACGTTTATATATAAAATTATATTATATTTCAATTTCATTTAGAATGATTATTTCGAGGCATCTCATAATTATAAAAATGTCTCGGTTATAATATTTAATATTTCGATTAATGAATCATTCGATTTGTCGCGTCCCGAGTAGTCACACAATAACAATTACATAATAAGGGAGTTTATATGAATATCAAAACCACATAAGAAATTCAAAATTCATAAGAAATGATTGTATTTTCACTATCGTTTTCATACACACACACACACACACACTTGCGTCCATCGGATATAAAAAAGATCGGGAAACAAGGGCAAGTCAGACGAGTTCAGACTATGCAACACTGAGCACCATCATATGGTGCTTATGGTATGTCATGGTCTGGACTTAGAATAAATACTATCAACAGTTAAATTAAATATCTGGACTTAGAAATATTTAGCAATATTAAGAAATACTTAGAATTATTTTAATAGTTTAATTGTCAGGACTTAGAATTTTAACAGCTAATTTAATTTATTGCACTTAGAATAATTTTAACAGTTTTAATAAATTACTTTATCACAACTGGCTTTCATTATTTCAACATTATACCTACTTCTAAGCGTTGAATAGACGTAAGAACATCGATTAATTTTTTAAAAAGGTGGTGTCAGTTACTGTGACTTCCAACCGGTACTGCGAGATGTTGGAGAACTTTTTACGTCCGAAAATTGAAGAGTACGAAAATATTGATGTCTTCTGGTTTCAACAGAATAGGGCTACAACCCGTTGTTCTCGTGCTGTTTTGTAAAAAAATGTTTCCTGGTCGCCTGATATCCTTAAAGGAAAACATTACCTCCTCGCTACCCTGATGTGAGCCTATGTGACTATTTCTCATGGGGATATCTCAAATATGAAGTTTTCAAACATCAATCTAGAACCATTGAAAAACTAAAAGAGGTTATCCATCAAGAAATCTCTACGATTCCACTCGATATGTTGGTAGAGTGATAGAAAACTTTCGAGAACGACTCCGTATGTGTATTGCTCGCCAAGACAATTATTTAGATAATATATTTTTTAAAAAATAATAAAAAAAAAACCATACATAATATAGTTTTTAAAAATATAAATTTTTTTTCTATATTGTGTTTTTTTTTTTAATTCTCGGAAATGTGGGAGTCCATTATGCCGCACTTGTATATGATATATACCAGAGGTGGCCAAACTTATTTCGACCACGATCTACTAAAAATATACTACACCTTTGAAGATCGACTTTCTTGGAAAATTTTTTTATAAACCAGAATAAAATATAAAACTTATCGACAGTTTGTTCATAATCACCACGATTAATTTTCGTACACGTGGCCTAAAAATAAATTCTAACATGATCGACTCAGAAATCATCCGCGATCGACCGTTTGGCCGCCCCTGATATATACTACCATTGATTATAGAATAGGCTATAATAGACTATTCTATAATCAATGATACTACTCATATATCCATATTTAGTATATTATCTAAAATGATTCCTATAGCATTGAGACAGATAAACAATATTATTGTATTGTTCTATCTCGATGTTCCAAAGTAAACTACGACGGAATAGTTTCTTATCTGATAGTTATTTTTATTCTCTGATGACAAGGTGTATCCAGCAACAACAGTATAATGACACAAAAATATTATATATTTAAAAATAATGTATTCAATATTCGACAATTTCTTCTAACAAATTTTTTCTAGCCCCGACATGATCTATTTTGAATAATTGTAGATATTATATCATATAACGTATTTTGGTTATAATATAATTAAATTAAATAATTAGGTACGAATGATAACAAAAAAATGACCCCGCGTCTATATGACATAAGCCCTTTTACTACTGAAAATTCTGTCATTTCTGTATATATAGGCGATTCTCGTGGCTTCTTTTAGTACTAAAAAACCATAAATACGCATTCTACATATGATATAGGACATTATTCCAAGAAAAAAAAATTTTGACAAAATCCGACATAGGCCCTTATTCGACGGAACCAATCAATTAGTAAAAATAAACTAAAAAAATTTAAATGCCACATTGCTGTTTTATCCGTGTGTCTCAACAGTGTCAAACAGAGCCATGTCAAACATTTCAGGGCCCCGGGGCAAAATTTTTTCTACGAGACCACTGGGCATAGGTAGTATATTAAGTGCAGATAAGGGTGACCCCTTACTTTTAAGAAACTACGGCGCCCGAGGGTAATTGCCCCCTTTAACACGGTACTGGTGTTAAATATCCATTTTGGAGTTCTCAAAACTCTTGAGCATGGGCTATTGTAAGAAATGGCATTAGGAATTTAGGAATTCAATTTTACAAACGTTATAAAGTTTGCTCAAAACTTTTATTATATTATATTATACATTTGTGATTTAATCTGTTATCATTTAGTATCAACATATTTAGTGATTTCGTGACGTTATCAAAATGTTCAAAAAGCGAAAAGTGTATTTAAAAATTATATTAAATTATTAATTTGTTTACGTGCTCTCCAGCTGAAAATTAACGGGATGCCGGTGCTCTTGAGACTGCTTAATTGTTTTTTAAAATAATAGTCAAAATGGTATCTCGCGTTACTTTAGTAAGTTAAACATTAAATGTCAATTCTTTAAATTAAAATATCGATGTGCTTTATCTTTCTTACATATTAGTACACATTAGTATACCTTTTTGTTTGTTATAAAATATAAAATTTATATTTTTAGCTCGATGCCCATGTTCTTGATGAACACATCACTAAAATATTTATCAACCAAACCTTGAAGGTTTTTAAATTTTTACCAGTAAGTGTTATCTTTATTTTAAGTTGATTGATTATGTTAGTAAATAATAAATATTGTAATTAGTATCCAGGGCATCAAATACTAATAACCATTTTTATAAATTTAGTAGTTTCAGAAAAAGTATTTATTTAATTATTATTAATTCTAACATTATGGATTTGTAATTTTATTCATTTTCATCATACAGTACTTAAAATTCACACAATATTTTATAAACTTACTATTATTATATGTTCTTATAAGATTTAAGTTTATAATTTATTCAAATTATCTTGATTTTAATATTATTTAATCAATTTAAATTTTTTTTATATATTTCTTATGATTTTACGTACATTATGTATTAACTTTGTTAGTTATATAATACTACATTTTTAAAATGATTTTAACTACAGTAATATATATTTAATTATTTCTGTTTGAAGTTTTTAAATAAATTAATTGAAGTTGAGGATTTTAAACAAAATATGATATTGATTCATTTTATTTTTACAATTTAATTTTAGCCCTTTTATAATATAAATTTAGTAACATTAATAAATGCCATTTAATAATAGGTGGATAGTTGAACAAAAATTAATATTCTGCTGTAGATACTTAAGTAATTTTAAATGAATGTTCTATTATTAGTGTTCTCAATTGATCTGAAAATAATTATGTTACCAATTATTGATGAGTTTTAAGGCTAATTGGTAGTTATGATTAATTTTTGTAGAGCTTTTATCTAAGAAATTATTGTTTCATCTATAATATAGTAAAATGGTAAATAAAAATATATTTTCTAGACCAAAATTTGGAATACAGTACAGATTAATAGGAACTTCTATTTGAAGCTGATTTGATTATATGGTAGAATAGAATTTGGCCTCTCATATTAGTCAGTTATTATAGTATTAATATTATTCATTTATATAACTGTTATTAATTGGAATTTATTATAATTACATAATATTTAATATAGTATTTACCTAGTGTATTTAATTTATGTATTATATAAAAAAGTGACAGGGTGACAAAGAGATTTGAATGAAAAATATGAAAATATTTCTATAACTAATTTTAATTTAAATGGTAATCAGATTTTATTGTATTTTAGTCATGGATTTTAAATAATTTTGAATCTGAAATAAATGCAATCTTACAAATTGTTTTGACTTATGTAAGTTAATAATTTAATATATCAGTAGAACAAATTTTAATTATTGATATTGTATCTTAATTATTTTAGTATTCAGTAGCAAAAATGAAAGCTACATTTGGTCAACAACTGCTTGGTATTAGGTTTAAACCAGATCAACTAACTGACACAAAAATAGCTCTGTTTCAATTTTTTATGGTTGTAGCCAACTACGTTCAATCAAAATCAGAAAGACCATCAAAAAATTTTATAAACAATGTAAAGCATTTAGTAATATAAATATTTGAACATACATTTTTAATCATCATTATTTTAGATTAATGATTTACAATTGATTGTAAATATTTTGAAAACGGCTTCCTTCATGAATTTCCTGTTATTTCTGCATAATGGAAAATATCCAACATTGCTTCAAAGATTTTTAAGTTTATCTCAAGAATCAACACGCAAAAGAAATATTGAGTATACCTTTATGACAAGAGAACTGCTTTGGCATGGATTTTCTGTATGTATTATTTTCACATTATTTTTCTAAAAATTATATTTAATAATACATAAATTACTTTACACTAAACTCAAATGTTGTTGTTTATATTTATTGATATTATATAATACTTTGAATTAGTATTTATTTAAAAAAATATAAAGTGCACTTAGTTGGTTAAATTTATAATATTTGTAACAAATAATTTTACAAAAATTGATTTCTAACTATAAAACCACTAATTTCATGTTTCTATATTTAATGGATAATAAACCCAAGGTTAAATATTTTAACCTATTGACACTTGTTTATTTTATTTTAGGTTAGCCCAATAACTTTACATGTATAAATGTATTATACACTCATATTATAATAAAATATTAATTATTATTACTATATTGTTTGTGTAACTAGTATTAAAACTTCATCTGATGATTCATGCTATTTATATATTTAATTTTTATTTATTACTTTATCTGTGTATAATTGCATGTATTATATTTTCATTTTTAGGAGCTTTTGATGTTCTCTTTACCCCTGATAAATTATCAATCGGTTAAACATAAAATTAACAGACTAATAAATTCAAAATCCAAACATGAAGACAAAAAATGGGTTGATAAAATTCCATTAATGAGTGCCAGAATTGTTTGCTCAATTTGTCACGATAAACCTGTGTTACCTCATCATATTAAATGTTCTCATGTTTTTTGCTTCTACTGTATAAGTGTAAGAAAATAAATATCAATAATTTTTATTTATAAAATAATATTGAAAATAAAGTTTTTTGCTAATTATTAATTTTTTTTTTAGTCAATGAGAATGGTGGACGAACAATTTGAATGTCCCGAGTGTGATCATTTTGAAAAAAAAATAATACCTGTGATACTCAATTAAATTGATGAAAAATGGATGCTGTTTTGGGCTAAATACTTCTTGTTATTGTTATTATTTTATTATTTAAGATTTTATAAAATGGATTTGTGCTAATATAAATATATATATATATACATATTGTATTTATAATTAATTTTTTTTTTGTTATATACATGCTAAATATAAAACATCACACAATAAAAGAATTTAATTTATAATCAAATCCTTAAGAAACAGGATGTACATTATTATATTACATTATATCTAAAAAAAAAAACTTTTAACAAAATTCTATATATTTTTTTAGATTATTATAATATTTATTTTAGCATTTTTATTATGAACAATAACACAATGTTTTGTTTTAGCTAACTGAATAATAGCAGATAGAATTCACAGGCTTAATATCCACCACTAACAGCGATCGATGTTCCAGTAATGTATGAACTCTTTTCGGAAGCCAAAAATATTACGGTTTCGGCAATTTCTACAAAAATCACAAAAACAATTAAATAAATTAATAAAAATAATTTCCATTAAATTAATGTTTGAAATATTAATTAAAATAATTAATATTCATAAGTTACCAAATAATACGTTTGAATCTTAAATTATAAATTCCATTAGGAATAACAAAAGTATTTTTTAAAGAGGAAAAAAATTTAATCATTTGTAGATCACATATTTAATAACATATTTTTTTTAAAAATAAATCGTATTTATCCCGAGGTAAAAATGTATGTATTTTTTTAATAAATAATTGCTTAAATGTTTTGAAATGAATAATAATCAGATTAATTTAAATTTCATATATGTTATAATTAAGTTAATGACAAAAGCAATCCTATTATAAGTATATGTAGTGTATACATTTTTATAAATAGATGAATCATTTAAAATAAATTTATTAACATTAGTTTATTATCCTATATAATTTAACAATATAATTAAATTAAAATTACAAGTAAACGTAATTACAAAATAATATTTTGAATTTTATAATTTATAAATAATACCTATGATTAATGACAGAAATTAAAATAAAATAATTGCAATTAAAAAACAATGAATTTTTTATATCATATTGGATGACTTCTAATTTACATGAATATTACCTACCTATATAATTTTATGTACATATAATTTTAATTAACTTAACATGCAAATATTAACTATGAATTCTATGAATATAATATGTTGCCTAATTGATACCTTTAGGTTCTATACACATTTAAAAAATATAATTATTAATTGAATTAACAATGGTTAAAAGATATGCAAATAACAATTTTAGTAATGGTACCACAATGTTTTCAACTAATCAATATCATTGACTTTACAATTACAAATTTAAATCTATAATTCAATAACAATTACCTGCGGAGTCAGCAAATCTATTCAAAGGTATAGCTGACTTAAAGTGATCTTTTACTTTGTCAGGTACGATATCAGTCATGGGTGTAATGGTAAATCCAGGTAGTACAGTATTACACCTTATGTTGTATCTATTAACAAATAAATATTATATTTGTAATGGAACCACAAGACATCAATCGCAACTAGTGTACGAATATAGGTGTACAACGAACCGGGCCATTTCCAATGCCACTGTTTTGCTGAACACTTCGACGGCTGCCTTGCTAGCAGAATAATTGCACTGTCCTATATTGCCACGTTGGGCAACGATACTCCCAATGTTAACAATAGAACCCGGCAAGTTCTTGTTCACCAACTCTTTACAAATGGTCTGCGTGACTAAAAAAGTTCCCTTTCAATCAAACCATACAATCCGAACGTTGCAACATTAATGGATAACAAATTAATAACAATGCGCGTAATTGCTGAAACAGTACCTTGACATTGACGTCGAACACGCTCTGGAAATCCTGCATGGACATCTTCAATAGGAAGTTGTCCCTCGTGATTCCGGCGGCGTTGACCACCACCGTTGGTGGGCCGTTATAGTCCGCGAACACCTGTTGCATCACGGTGCCTACGGATTCGGCGTCGGACACGTCCAGACAATAGCTCTTGTGGCCGTCCCCTGAAACCAAGCACAAAGAATGATCGAACCAACCGGCGCACGTGTTCGTTTATTATAACGTTCACATTAACTCGGACACGACCGATAAGTAAGATAGTACTACTCACCTGCGAGTTCCGCGACCGTTGACTGTACGTTTTTGATGTCCACGTCCGCCGCCACTATCGTAGCGCCTTCACGGGCCATCAAACGGCAGATCGCACGACCAATACCACCGCCGGCGCCTGCGACAATCACATAATAAATCAATATACAAGTTTCGACGTTTTATTTTCGAAATATTATCACTGTCCACGGTCCAGATGCTTACCCGTCACGAAAGCTAATTTTCCCGGCAACATAACCACACACTGTAACAGCTGTCGATTGGAAACGTTTGCGTACACGCGCCGATCAATGACAAAGTTGATTGTTTTCAAATGACTTTACGAGCGCTTCGAAACGGTTCGACCGTTGAGCTGGACGGATAGGTTATACCTAGTTCGTTACTAACGAATGAAGGTGAAATACTGTCGCAACGTTTTCAAGTTCAAACCGGTGTCAGAACTCACGCACACGGTGACTGTCGTGATGCGATCAGCTGGTGCGGTAACGACAGCTATGCACAACAATTGTAACGAATAGATGTACGTTAAACTGCGTTCAGCTCGATTTTACGATTTGTTCAACCGTGAATATTCAAATCAAGGGCGTATTTTAAGTTGAGGCCATGGGGGGGGAACTAATTTTTCTTCAACAAAAACTAAAAAATAATTTACAGTTCATTACAGGGACGTACCCAAAGGAGGGTTTTCGGGTGCGGACCCTCCCCATTGAAATTTCTACATACTCAATGGTTTAATAGTAAATAGTACATAGGTAGTGTATTTTAATTTCTCATTTTCTTCAATATACAAAGTTAATAGATTATATAATATACCTATAATGTATAAACTATGTATAATTTATACTGCTTTTTTAATATTATTTATTATTGTTAATTAAATAATGTATTTTTTTATAACATTTTACTACTTACCAAATAAAAATTGATTACAAATTATAGTATCTACCTATTATAATAAACCTTTGTAAAGAATATGTATGATGTGTATGTGTAAATTTATAGTAATAATATTTAGAAAATAATCCCACAAGCAATAATAACTTAACACAATATTACATTAGCCAATGTATTTATAGATATATTTTTCATGATAAGAAGTACGATTAGGTACAAACCATGATAAACAACTTAATCGGCGTAACGACTGTTTTGATAAGGTAGTATGTCAGTGTTGATGAATTTTTTACAACAGAAATTTACAACAACTGTATGATGATGACAAGGGCGTATTCGTGATGTGGCCACGGGGGGGGGGACACTAATTTTTTTTCAATACAAACTTAAAAATAATTTGAAATTGAATTAAATATTTATTTAATAAATATATTTAAAACCTACTGCATATAAAATAAGTAATAATAATAACAACACAAATAGTTCTTATATTAAAGTTGTACCTTCAGTCAGAATCCTGTATAAAAAAACAACAAATAATCATAGTAGTAATAGTAACTATTAATTATTTTTTAAATAATTTAAAAAACAATTAAGATAGGTAACTTAATTTAACAAATATCTCAGTAGAAAACATAAGGTTGGTAAGTAGTCAATTAACAAATTCCAAATTTCTTTTTTTCATTTTGGCAAATTTGTTGATTGTTTCATCAACGGATACAATAATATTTTTATGCACATGCAGCAAAACCAAACCTGTTAGTCTATGCTGGCCTATTCTTGAGCTTAAATATGTTTTCAATTTATAAAAATATATTTTTTGCCAATATTTGCAAGTTAAAGAATATGGAAACAAATATTGTCAATTATTGTGATTATTATTTAGGTTAGAGACTTCTAGCTCAATAAAATAAACAAATATGCCTGCATTTGTACATAAAAAATGACTAAATACCTATGCACAACAAAAAGTACCAGATATTTCGTTGTAAAAAAAAAAAAAAATAGGGGAGTAAAATAATTAAGAACTTATATAGCTCTAATAAATACAAAAATATACAATATGCATAAATGCACAAAAAAATGACTAATTAGTAAATATGAGGTAAAAATATTTTTACTTTAAATTACTTTATATTATCTGATAAAAACTTCGGTTATTGCACAGACTTCTACACTAAACTAGTATAGAAATCTGTGGGTTATTGTTATAAATGCTTATAACCATATTATCCGTGGAAGATAATACCATTATTTGTTCCACAACCAAAAATGTTATGATATAAGAAGATAAACAAAAATTGATACCCATGACCAAATTGATATATTATTGAATTTATTATCACATTTTAATGATAGACTAATAATTTGTATTCCTAATTATTTATACATTACATTTTTTAAATAAATCAATGTATTATATTCAAAAAAATACAAGCCATGGGGGCAAATGCCCCCTCCCCTCAAATACGCCATTTATTCAAATAAACGGTATTGAACTTTACCATTTCGATTTGAATTCAATATTTTAGAGACGATTAATTAGTTTTTATTTCTATAATTGTCTAGCATGTAAACTTTTAGGCAAAGTAAGTAATAGTAATTTTGAACCATTTCGAGTTTCACCAATTACTTTTTAAGTATAAATTGTTAAGACTCTTATACTCAATCGTTAAAATTAAATATACTTATGTATACATGTATAATGGCGTATGCAGTAAAATGTTTCATGTCTATTATTTTACTTCAGATACCATTATTACTAGTATAATTAAACAATACTTATACAGTCACATAACGGAAATATAAATAGCCAGATATGAAAATACTTATAATCGGATAGTCGGATGTTCCATTAAGTACATAGGTACTAATAAGTTATTAATAGAGAACGGATTTATATGTAAATACATATTTTTATTAAAACGAGATATTTAAGATTCGATAAGAAACGTTCATGATTTAAATCATTCCTATTAATATGATACTACTTTTATTTTACATATTTTTACATATTTTGGTATAATTACATATTTTTACATATTTGACTAATTTGTAAATATTTTTAAACATATTTTATCATTTCACGTCTTCTTCGTATGAAAATACAAGAAATTATTTCTAATTTAGATCTAGTAACTTCTATCGCTATAAGAAAAGCTTAAAATATTATGCAAAATGAAACATTGAAAACTAATTTAATTTTCATTTCAGTGAATTTTAGTTTTATTGCACATACATTTACAAAATTAGAAAAAAAATATGTCCTTAAATGATAGTATGCAAATTGTCGAATCAACGATTGAAAAATGAAATCTCTTAAACGGACCAACAGGAGATTTTGTAAAATAGAAAATTAATGCTGTTACAAAAAAAAATTCCAGGCGATATTGATTTTAAATTAATCAATGACATAATCAGTGGTAGACACCATTCTAAAAATTTAGAATTATCGCCTTCTGATATTATGCGCTTCAAATATGCTTTAATCAACCGATGTAGGTTGATGCGGAACGATCATTTAGCCGTTTTAAAAATATATTAAGATCTAATAGGCGACATATAATATTTAATAATTTAAAAGATATTGTAATAATTCAATGCAACAAATCATTTTGATAGTTTAATAATTATAATTTTTTTTTTTTCAATTCAATTTTTTTCTTACATATTTGGATGTTTTTAGCACATATTTTATAAATTATACTTACATACATATGTACATATTTCTGTATTTTTATTACATATAAATCCGTTCCCTAGTTATTAATAATAACTAGTAACTAACTGTAATTATTTTATTACAAATGAAATATTTTTAAATTGTAATAATAATTGTAATATTCTTACTATAGCCTATAGGTACGTATCATACATTGTACATATTAATATATTATTATAATTTTTAAAATTATTTTTATTCCTGTTAATATGACAAATATAAAAAAATATATTAATATGAATATACCTAATAAGTCAATAATAACACTTAATTCTATAAAAAAAAAATCCGTCCTTGGCTATAAGCCCAATGCCGCAACTACTGGTGGTGCAAGGGGTGCTCAAAACCCCCGGGTCCCCGTTAAATCATAACAATAGTCCGGTGGCCGAACCATAGAGTAATAATCGATGCCCTATAGGCCTAACGATTTGGAACGTTATTTTTTCTAAATTATTATTGATACAATTTACAATGATATACTATATTATGTCTTATCGGAATGAAAATAATAATTCAATAATGCAGATATTAATAAGAATTAAATTATATACTTATAATCTAAAAATAGAAGGTTTTTGTTTACCATAATGTATTTCTAGTGACTAGGTATGTTTATCGCACAGTGCAACCCGCATTTTCATTTGCCAAGACTCTCCAAGCCGCCACGGCACGTCTTATATACGTACCTATTATTATTATTATATATTATATAGGTTTATGATATTTATAGTTTTACATTATTAATAATTCCCAATTTCCTATAATTTAATCACATAATTTAACCCGCCGATCTGTCTTGGTAGAATGTATATTGTAGCAGCTACATTGCGTATACTGTGAACACTGATATAATATGTTAAAATTATAATAATGTTTAATATTTAATAATAAATAAAGAATAATAATTTAGTATTTACCATCGATTACCGTGTTTTTATTAATTTTTGTTTAAAAAATCTATGAACAATGAGCTCGAAAGTTAAAAGTGGCTCTAAAAAACAGCAATTGAAAGAAAAAGAATTACTTGTAAAAGCAGGAACTCATCCAAAGCAAAAAAACTATGGTCCTTCGTAAAAAACATTGATGATGTTGAAGTAGCTACCACCTACATATTTTTACTGAACGGACTTCTGTATTATTAAGTATGTTTTATGTATAAAACATTAATTCATTAATATCTGTGATCTGTTTAATAACTTTTATATATCTAATTGATAAATAATACATACATTTAATTTTTTATCTTTTTTAACTTTTTTAACTTTTATATATCTAATAAATAAATAATACTTAAATTTAATTTTTTAACTTCTTTTTACTTTTAATATAGGTAGGTACCTAGTATCTAGTTAATTTTAGTTGCATTTAAATTTAAATTTGGTACCTACTACATTATTAATGTTTTAGATCTTGGAACATATTTTATTACTTTTTTGTTAGTACTAACCTATAGGTATTATAAAATTATTTACCTATTGTTTTATAATATTTTTGAATAATTTTTTATTTAATTTTATATTATAAGAATCTTTTGCTAAAAATTAAACTCTACCCGTCTGTCCTATACAATTTAACAATTATTCTAAATTATTGGGCAAATTATAAATTGTTTTTACTGCAAGATTAGAATTAATACATTAATTGTAATTTATTTGTATAAATTAGGTAAAAATGAACTTGGATAATAATGTTCATGGTAGTATTGCAACAATTGGTCCGAATGTACTTGTTACAAATTTGACAAAATGTAAAAAAAAAAAGTAAAAAAAAAATAATGTTAATAAAACTAATAAAAATAACTTACATTTAAATAATAAAAAATAATCTAATTTAAGTTCCTTTTATTTACCTAAAATTATAAAATACTATTAAATTACTGAATTTAAAAGTTATCAAACTTAATATTTTTGAACTTAGGTAACTTAGGTCCTTATAATTTTTTTACATAATTAAATTTTAATGTTGCGTAACTAAAATATTAATATTAATATATTTTGGTGTAGGAGCTTGAAATCAGTACTTCATTACTACTTGAAAGTTCAGCTGGGGATGTGGATTGGAATGAAATGTTGTCAAATGAAGTGGATTTGGATGATGGTATATAAAATTATTATTTACTGCTATTTATTTATTTTATTGAACAATAGAATGTTTAAATAATGTTTTTTACTTATCAATGTGTATTAAGAATTTTTATTAAATTCATTTGTTCTAATTTATAAACAAATATTTTCACAGGATTGGATTTGAATTTAGAATTTCCAACAGATCGAGGGCATTTTCCAGAGACATTAACTATTTTCAGTTTAAAAAAACATTATTTTGTATGGTCTATGCAAGCCTTCAAATGATTTTGTGTTGTGCTCAAACACAATGTATACTGATGGAAAAAGTAATCAACGACATTTTTCTAGTAACTTCTATTATGTCATAACTAAAATGGGTAGTAAAATACCCTGAATTTGGCTATGTTATTGTGTTGTTTTACAAAAAACATATTGTTAAACTTGTTGGTTGTTTGCTGTTAGAAGAGGCAATATGTTTAAGACTAACTGGATTAATGGCATAAATGATTGGCAACATTTAACCCAAAAAGCTATTGAACACGAAATATCTTTACAACACGTAGAGGAAATGAAATTATGATTACTGTGGGCAAAGAATAATACAACAGAAAAAAAATTAGAACAGCAATGTGTGCAGAAGCTCAATTCTGGAGGGATGTCTTAACAAGACTTATTCAAATACTATTGTTCCTCACTGCAGGTAATATAGCTCTCAGAGGAAATGAAGGTAAAGTAAATAATAATTCAGAAGGTAACTTTTTATGTACAGTGAAGCTTTTAGCACAATTTGATCCTCTATTAAGTAAGCTTTTATACACTGAAGAATCTAAAGTAAAATATTTAAGTTGGAAAATTCAGAATCAAATCATTGAACTGTTAGCTTCAGAAACAATGAAGATTTTATGTGAAGAAATTAGAAATGCTTAGTGTTTCACAATTATTATGGACAGCACACAAGATATAACAAAACTTGACCAAGCGAGTTTCATTTTTAGATATGTTAATTATGACAAACATACATTAGATGTCATAGAATCATTTTTAGGATTTTATAAATTGACAAAACACGGTGTTGAAGATCATGTAAATTTAATTTATGATGTATTAAATAAATGTAATTTAGACATAAACAAATGTCGAGGACAAGGCTACGATGGTGCTGCAGTTATGAGTGGTATGTTCTCTGGTGTTCAGAAACGCATATCCAATATAGTTCCGAATGCTTCATATGTCCATTGCTCTGATCATAACTTGAATTTACAATTGCATCGGCAGAACGCTCATCTTCTAAACTAAAATTAATAAAAAATTATTTACGAAATTCAATTTCTCAAGAAATTCTTTCAAATATAAGCATTTTAAACATAGAAAAAGCACGGACCAATGAATTAAATATTGATCATATTATTACAAAATTTGCAAATCAAAAAGCAAGAAAAAAAAACTTTTTAAAGTAGATATAAAAATAATTTAATTTATGTTAATTTTAAGTTAAAATAAGTTATTTATTTTTAAATATTAATATTGTGCATTGAGCTATATCATTATTAATTATATATATATATATATGTATATATGTATAATTGTATAAATAATAAATCTAAAAATTGACTATCATTTAGACAGTGTTTTATCAATTTATTATTTAAGCCATCAAGGTGTTTCACAAAGTAGTATTATATTATTTTATCAAAAAATTGAAACTAATGAATGCATTAAAATCATAATAATTATTATAATAAAAAATCCTAAATATAACCATAACAAAATAAGAAAAATAATACATTTTACTGACCATTATATTTTTAATTTGGTTATGATGTGCGGCTGATGACATATTGCATTTTAAGTGGACCAAGAAAGAAATAAAACAATTTAAAGAGCTCACTTTACTCCTTATCAACCTAAATACAGTTAATTCACTGAACTTCAGTGTACATTATTAACTACATAATATAAAAGTGTAATTTGTCATCTACATTTGAATTTTAATGTATATTCAACTTGCAAGCAATATTTTGATCCTGTTGGTACATGGTCATATAATATGGACCCAATAATATTTTCTTGCATACCCACCAGTATATACCAAGTTGCGGCACTGTATAAGACTTTTAGCCTGCCCTTTAATCCGCCACTGATACCAGATCGGTCTAAAATAGCATCTAATTCTTCATCAGTAAAAACTGAAATGAAATAAATTAAAATATAATGTAAACAGCCATAAGAAAAATTAGTTGAAATATTAAACAAAAAATTTAAATACTTACTAAATCCATTTGAATGTATTTTGTAATAATAATCAGATGATTCTAATAATGAATCGGTTCATCAATGCCTGTTATATGATATAGTTAATTTTGAAGTTCTATTTAATGTACCTACCTAAAATATTATAAAACTCAATTAAAATATCATTTCACTAAATCATTCTCAAATTATAAAAATAGTTTAGGCTATGTGTCAATAAAAACAAGTTAAACAGAATAAAAATTTGCTGTAATGTTTACGATAGGCAAATTAGAAAAAAAAAATCTTTTTTTAAATTTCCTACCATATGAATAATATCTTTAAGTATAATGAAATCAGATCTTCCAATATCCTCGTGTCATCCATATATTGTTATGAATATATTAACTGATGAACCCAGTTTAAATCCTTTACGCATTCGTCGTTAACCAAACGTGTAATGCAGATGAGAGAAAGGTTGCTATGTATCGGCTCCAAACAATCTATATTTTTCTAAAAAACTTCCTCCATGACCAAAAACGATTCTCAAACATGTATATTTCCTAAAACTCAAAAAGAATTTATGAATTGAAGAAAAAACACCCTAGTTTATTTATAGTAAACGGTATTAGATTACTAGAGTGCAATATTTTTTGTAATGAAATTGGTTTACAATGTCGTCTGTTTAACAATTAAATATGTACAACAAATGTTATTAATGTTTTCATTTTTATACAGAGCTTAAGACGAAAATAAACAGTTATAAGAAATAATTGTTTGGATATTTACTTTTAATAAAATACTGTAGGTTCATCTGTTATGTCAAGTAAGATTTAGTATCGACCTAAAATTGTTTCATTGATATAATAATTTAAGAATAAGACTCAATAATTGACAAGTTCAATGCAAATGTTTATTGGAATATAATAAGGTAATTGATGTATAATTTATTTATTTTATTTTAATCTCATAAACATAAAATATAATACAAGTAAATTCATACTCTTCATAATTAAAATGGCACAAACTGTTGTATCAATGTATAACTTAAAAGCCTCAAATTTCATGTGTTACCTTAAATTTATATTACATCGAGTTTTATGCTTACAAAATAAAACACATAAAAAAATACAACAATGTTGTCTTGGAATTATAAAATGTTAAGTATAACTATATTAAAATATCTCAGTAGGTAGTCATATTTATTCAACCGCGTTTGAGTCCTGATTAATTTATAATAACTAATGAGTATCGTTGAATTCTAATTAAAATGCATTGGTAATTTATTTGCATGCAAGAAATACATTTAAAAATCGGAAATTTTAGTTAAATATCAATAATTACAGATTAAAATTCATCCACATAAAATTTAGCTAAATCTAAAAAATTTCATAAATGTAAAAAAAAAAATTGGTTTTTCTTCATAAGTTTATCTATATAAAAAAAAAAATACATTAGTACCTAATAATATATTTATAAATTTTGATTTAAGTAATAATAATATTGTAGTCTGAATATTAGAAAATTAAATGTACAATATTGCATAATAAACAGGAAAATAATTATAAGTAAATTTGTGATACAGTTACTTAATTGGTAATGTTTACAATATTAAATATTATTCAGTTCACGAATAAATAACAATTTATTCATCAAAACGACTCTTTTTGAGCTCCAAAGTATCTTCATCATTTTTAGATTTTCTTTTAAGTTCCAATTCTTCATCAACACTTACATCCTGATCAACACTGTCCACCAATGGCTCTTTTGCATCACTTACTTCATGTTCACTATCAATCGTTTCCATTATTTCTGTATCAGTTGGTTCATTTTCTAATGCTTTGTCAATTTCAATAATATTATCTTTGTCTAGTTCAAATTTCTCCATGATACAGTCACCTTTTTCTTGTACTGATGTTGCATTATGTTCTAAACTTAATTTTTCATCATGTTTTCTTAAATCCTCCATATCACTAAATATTTCAAAGTCTGGTAGTTCCTCAGTTACTTTTTCTTTGTGGTGTATCATAATGCTGATACAATAGTTCCGGAAAAAATCATCAACTTTAAGTTTAGATCCATGTACAATATTAACTTGACAAAGTGGAAATGAGTATGTGTCCAACTCATCGTCCTCATCTGTGGAAATAATTATTATCTTATCTGTTTTTATACGAGGTAAAACCATATTAAATTTTTTTCTAAAAACTAGATCATTCAATTGTCTAAGTGTAAAATTTTTTGTATCAAGACGCAAAATAAGTTCTCCAGGAGCAGAACATCCAAAACATTTTGGATTTGGTGATTCAAGTTTTTTATCTTTAACCAGAATTGCTCCTTTGTGATTAGGTTTTGCTCTTAAAAACACACTTTGACAACGTTCATAATTTTCACTTAGTGCTCTCAATGCATGTATTACAATTTGGCCAGCAATTATTGCATTTGCAGTGGCAATGGCTGGAATAATATTGCCGGCCATAGATTTTATGTCAAAATGGCTCTTCAATGGTATTCCAAAAATATTAGATCGAAGATTAGTGCAAGAAACAATAAAGTTCATAAAATCATCATCATCTTTATTCAAATCTAAATTATTTCCATTTGTTAGGTCCGATTTATTTTTAATCTTTACAATAGAATCCTTAAACATGGATACATATTGTGACAATTCTAAAATTTTTAAATCTGATTCATGACTATAATCAGCATAATCTTCCTTTAGTAGTGATTCATTCATAGGAATCAGTTTAACGTTATAATCAGAAACCCACTTTTTCATAATTAATAAGTATTTTATATCATCAATGAAAATTTTTTTGAACATTTTCGTAGGCTCATAATTGTTTTTTATAGACCACTCTCGAGCTGATAATGTAGGTAAATCATTTTTTTCTTTCACTTCCATAGAAACGTCCTCAGAAGTGTAATTTATTCCAAACAGTTGATTAAACAAAAATTTAGCCCAAATTATGCAGTGAATAGGTTCTTTAGGAGTGTTTCTTATAGTACACATAGGATAAGACTTTGGTTCAGGTTTAGGCAAGCATTCATAACACAAACTTACTCCTTTTTTAATAAACTCAACTTGACCACTATAACCCATTGTACCAGATTCAATGAGAGGAATATCAACTGAAAGGCACATGCGGTTAACATGAGCTCGTGCTTTTTTATTATCTAAAGCATTTATAACAAGTTTAAATCTACTAAAAAAACTCACATCATAACCTCTATTCAAAATGTTACCCAAGTAAGATTTAATATTAACATTTGGATTAAACTTCAACACACTCTCTCTTGCAACATGAGATTTAGCTTTTCCTATTGACTGCTTGTTGAACAAGAACTGTCTGTTAAGATTGCTGACCTCAATGGTATCCAAATCAATTACTTCTAGATCGCTAAAACCCATCAGCACAAGATTTTTGAGCACTTCACAACCAATGCCTCCAGCACCAACTATTAGGATTTTGGAATCCTTGATGAGATTTTGCATTTCGGGCTGAAAGACACCCACAATGGTAGCCGCCATGATTGGAGCTGTGGAGACAAATTGATTATAATGTATATTGCGTAAAAATACTAGTCTTTACTTACATACCGGTATTTCTTAAAGTTGAAAATGGTACGTAGAAGATGCTGATCGCAGAGAGTGGTAATGGAACGGCGAATGACGTATAAATTGTACAACAGTGAAAACTTAATGGACGCTTCTTAACTAACGCCAAGAATAGTAAATTCAGGACGTTGTGATACTATTGATACCATTAGAGAATCGATACTTTTCTTTCGATATCCCATCCCTAAGTAAATTATGTCCCTAACACGAGCGCCATTTAATTTTCATTTGAGGAACGATTATTGTTTGATACGGATTAATATCGATAGCGATTGTGGCTCATATTTATAACCCGCGTTGGTTACTGGTAAACGGTATGGCAGTGGTTGATTTGGAATAAAAAACGATTCTTAATCGCAACTGCGATTAGTAATCTATATGGAGTGCAGGATTATTCGATCTTCTAAGATAATGATGTGGTGTATACCTTTATTAATTTTAACCACGAATTAAGATATTAATATCTTATTTTCATCTGGGCATTAATGAAAAAAGTGATCCCAGAAATATATATATTTTATTCAGGATATTTATGAAGGCTCGAGGACTAGTGTTGGGAGCTTGTGTGAGAAACAAATGATTTTAACACAGTGGTTGGTAGAGTTGGCTATATGTGATATTTGCTCACAGGTACTCGGTATGTGTTTACATACCGGTTTTTATTGATATATTGGTATGTATGAATCGATAAATACCACTCGTTTTGTAAATACCGTACAAATTATAAATACTGCTAATACCTCTTTTAATAAATAAATAATCGACAAATGTATAGAAAATAGTTGAGACTTGAGAGCATATATCATTTATATTTATGTTTTTTTATTTTAAGTACTTGTATTCTTAAGGCGTTATTTAACGGTTAACTACTACTTCTCCTGGAGTATGATAAGAAACACAAAAGTACCAACTGCTAACAGCTCAAAAATATGTCCGTAGGAATTTTGTGTTTGTGCATTGTGCAATAATAATTGCACTTGTCTGTTTGATGTTGAATGTTCAACCGAGTTAAATGTGAGTATAACGTGTGCTTCTAATTTTTTACTTTAATAGTATTAATAATAATAATAAGTTTGTATGTACAGTACATCTATGGTGTGTAAAGAACTATACATTATGTAAATGTTCGGCCATGTGCTCTTATGTATTCATATTTGTTCATATAATTTGTGTATAGTATCTTTCTACTTTAATTCTAAAATATATATTGCTAACATATGATAATCATTGTTATATATACGGGTACATATTATATACTTGTTTGATAATTTATCATACTTTTGTATATAATGTTATTATATGCTCTTACAGATATTACTGAAGTGATGGTATAAGTATGTCAATACATGTTATTTATATTGTTATGTTTTAAAAATTTAATTCCAGCGTGTGGATACAATTGTAAATATCTTGTTCTCAATTAGTCTAATTTACTGATTATAATCAAATAATAAAATATGTATTAAAAATCACAAAATTAATCAATTATTAGATGTTTAAAATGATTAATATTTTTAAACATAACAGGGTACAAGTATTATAAAAATCAAAACTGATTTACCTAAGTATGTATAGACATTTTTTTTTTTCAAATAATAATTAGTAATATTTTGGTATTTTATATAGGCTATAATTGAGTTGAATACATATGAATTATGTTATATCTCATCATATGTTTAAAACTATTAGTAGTTGAGAGTTTTTAGTTAAGCAGTATAATTTACAGTTAAATTAAATATTAATTAATACATTTTATATAGGTAATTGGTACAATGTTTGTTTGTTTTTTTAATCAAGCCAATAGTTGTATCATGAATGTAGAAGAATCAATGAACTCTGGTAATGATAGAAAATTAGATTCTAATAATTCAAGTATTGTTATAATTAATTCTGTTGTTGATACGATGCCTAAAATACTGGTATTTTTATGAGAATGTATTGAACTTCCACAAGAAAAACAATGATTGGAAATACCTGCCAAGTGTCAGTACATCAGTAAGTAGGGATATTATGGAAAACAGAATTTTACATATTAATTCTCATAATGTATACGTACATTAAATGTAACATATTTTAGTGTAATAATTTTTAACAGGTCTTAGCTCTTCTCCACTTGCCTGCCATAAGAAACCATCCGCAATGTTCAAATGTTTGTATATTAGATGAATACAATGTCATTGTACAGTATGCCAGACAATTTACTGATTTTCAAGTCATTATAGATCACTTTTTAAGTAATTACATAATTTTATATTTGTAAATGTATTGTATTGTATTTATGTTGTACATTTCAAATAAGTTGTTAATCAAAGGTTGGTAATTAAATAGTTATGTTACTATTTTTTTTTTTCATAATTACTTTCAACTTATTAAGTTAAATTTATGATTTGGTAACTGTAGACTTCTATTTTATTGATCTTGTGTTAATTATTTTAATTTACTTGCCTATCTTTGGTATTAATTACCTATGTTCTACTTAATATGTTTATTTGTTTCTATGAAACATTTTTCTATAATTTGCAATTTTTTATCACATACTTATGTAATGTGTTTATTTTTATTATTTACAGAGATACCGGTTATTATCGGAAATCAATTTTTGTAGAATTTGGAAAATGACAAAGAAACTTACAAGTAATGTTCTTAAAATTTGTATGGCGTTTAATTTATAAATTAAATAATTAATTTAATCCAATACATCAGAGATATGTGATCAAGAGCAGAAAGAAAAAAACCTATTGATTAATTAATTAATTAATTATTAGAGAAAATGTTCAGTAGGTCTATAGAGATCATAACATTTTAGCTTTCTTGAGGAGAACTGGCCATCCCAATGATGGTTATGACAAATTGAACCATATTCTTGAATTTTTTAGTTCAATAAAATTCTTAATAGATAACTATTGATTAAATTGTAGCATAAATATTGCATTAAATAGAGCTTCGTGAGGAGTCATGCTATACTTAGTTAACATTGTTTAATTTTAACTGATTTAGGTACCTACTATAAGTAATATACAATAAACATTATATTATATTTATAAAAGCAGAAAATATCTTATGTAGTACTTGGTACAATTAACATTTTTTCTATCCATCAAGACATCAACTAAAAGTGGTAAAAACTAAATGTTCCCTTGATATTGATAGCACAAAGTTATCACAAAGAAATTAATGTTATATTAATCTGCAAATCAGTAAAGGGGTTTGTATAGGTTAGTTTTATGCATTTTTAATATTTATAAAAAAAGTTGATAATTTACTAAAGAAAAAAAAATAGTTTCCTTTATTGTTAAGTTAAGGAATGAAACAAATTTTTACTATATTAAAGACAGAATATTGAATACATTATTTATTTTATTATAAAAACATAGATTTATAGGTGTTTTATATTATTAATTTTACTGAATTCTATATTCAAGACCGTACCTGGGGGTACAGGGTTTTCTAAAAATGTCAAAAAATGACTTAAAAAGTAACAAACACCAAAAAATGCAAAATAAAAATTAGTTATTTGGAATCACATGCTAATAAAACACATTAATGGCCAGGATAACATTTTCTAAAAAGTTCGAAAAAAAAATGCAAAATGCATCAATTTCCTAGCCCTATTAATCACATTACACAATTATAAACTATACAAGCATTTATTGAAAACATTAAATACATGTAAAATTATAATTGATCAAAATTTAATAATCATGTCAAAATTGTAATTATATATTGTAAAAGATTTCTATCTGTTGACAGAAATCTTGCGCGGAGGTGTTATGGACACACATATATGTTCGCCTTACGATTATTACTATACGGGAGGCCCATATAAACTAGTATTAACAAATCTTGTTATAATCAATACATATGTAATATATAAAAAAATAAAATATATGTAGGCACCAGTAGTACAACGATTAGAATGATGCGCAAATCCAAATCACCAGTATTGATCGTAAGACATATGAAAAGAAGTGCGAAAGGCAGAAATCGTGAATAATCCAGTCATCACACAGTAATGGATGTGCAAATACTGCGAAAGAAAAACGAACAGCGTTATAATAGGGGTATTAATATAGCATTTAAAGGGTTTCAGAAAACATCTGTAATCAGATGCGTTATAGTCCGATTGCAGTACGCACCTTTACGCCAGTAACTTTTCTAAATAATTAAATATTTTGTACTTAGAATATTCACAATGAATAACGAGTTAACTTAAATTTAGTCATTATTTGGAATATCTAAATATATATCCTACGTCAGTGCTGTTGTAATGACGACACGCAATACAGGTATTACATGCAAGCCCGGATTATGATAATTTGGAACCCGGGGCCAAATGATTTTAGGGGCCCATAACCATAATCAAAATATTGATGACCCACACATAAATATATATTTCAGTGACAAAAAAAATTATCTTCTAATTTATAAATTTATTTCTTGGTTTTTTTAATACAAAAATAAAAATTTTATTTGTATAAATATTTTTTTATTTCTTTTTGGGAAGCGAACCCTTTAATTATATAGTCGATATTAATTACCTCCAAAACATCACTCTCTGAACACAAAATAATTAAACTATTTAAATTTGCTCTAGATCTTCTCGTTCTATACTTGTTTTTTATACGAGCTAAAAAAAGTTAAAAAAACGAAAAAACCTACTATCTGCCAGGGGCCTACTGTTTGATATCCGTTGTGGGCTCGGGGCTATGGCCCCACTCTCTTAATCTGGGCTTGATTACATGTAATGTTTTGGTTTGTTGGCCGGAGAGAATAAGCCGCGTATTATAGACACTATTGAAACTGGGTTCATGAGAATAATTTCCATTCCATCGCGCCGTCATATGTACGCTGTCATCTGCTGGTTCATAGATAAAAAAGATCGCAGAGTTGAATAAGCTTATAAACAAATTAACTATTGAATAGAAATGTAATTAATTATTTATGATTAGATGATTTTGTTTTTGAATCGTCTACATTTTCTAATAATAATGGGCTTAAATTATAGGTATTATAACTTAATTTCAAATTTTTTATGTTTTTATCAAATACAGAGTATGATTATTATTTTAAGTGTTACTATGATATAATTTTAAATACTGATTATTTGTACAGTGTGTTTCTACATATCATTACATCTACTATAGTTTTTATTTTTTGTTATGCCCTCATAACAAGTTCCTAATAATGTTCATGATTTCAAGAATAGAAAAAAATTATAAATATTGAATATAAAATTATGAGCTTAATTTATTTTATATATTTTAAACAAATTTTTATTTTTATTAAGTTGTATGATATTAGTGAATATTTTCAAACAATGGGTCGGTTGTTACACAATATATTTCATGCAGTTTGCTGTTTTCATACATACATAAATATATATATATATATATATCTGACATGTTATTATTACATAGTGCAGGGGTGTATTTAGACTTACTTCTAGGGAGGGAGGGGGTAACTCAAATGTTTTCTTTAATTCAGGCTCCAAATGTACAAGTAAAATGTTTGGTAACATTTTTTCAATCTAATTCCGGATCCACTTAGAATCGACTTTTGTTTAGTTCTTTTTGTTCTCTCTATGTTTTGAAAGTTATGCTTGTTTTATTTGATTTTTTACTAAATATAGACCTGACAAAAAGCCCAATTCAGTATTCACAGCCATGCGTAATTTAATTTCGTTATAAAATGATCCACATTTAAAAATATGAGATGTGTATCTCACATATAATCAATTTCTTAAATACGGCTTCAGGGGGACAAACCCCCCCTAAAATACTAACCATGGCTTAGTGTTATTACACACGGACATTTTTCTTGTGTTGATTGGTAGTAATTGATGTTGTATTCATTTGTAATTTTTTGAGTGATTGATTTTTGTCTTTTTATTTTTTTATTTTTCGTTTGTAATTATGTCTTATGCTGTTTGTACATAATAAAATGGGTTCAATTTGAAAAAATGCCTTCCATTATTTTAACACTACAAGCTAATGTCTCATAGAGTAATGCCATATTGAGGTCGGTACTAAATGCAATTATGATAATTTTTAAAATTATAAAAATTTCTAATTATCCAGACTTAAAAGACTAAGTTTCCAATAGTAGATCACCAATCCCACATTTAGTGAGGTTAATTTTCCACCATTTTTTTAATAAAATTTTCATTGAGGAGGTTATTTAGTCACAGTCTTAGATTTGTGTATATATATTCTATGGAAATGGTTTTCTAACCGTGAAGTGCACCTTCTTAGGAAGGTACAAGCACTAATTGGGAGAGGAACAAGGCAAATATTTATATTGTATATTACACTATCATATATTTATTTTTAGATCAACAGTAATTTGCTATTATTAAAATAATAAAAATGTTGTTTTATTTATTCATAGGAGGCGAGATTAGATGGTTTTTGTTTTGGAGACGTGAATCAAAAAAGTTTGAGAACAGTTTTATTAGGGTGTGTCATGGTACATTTTTTGGGCTGCTTCAATTTCTTGGAGACACAATACATGTAGATATTTTTGTAATGCATTATTTCGTGCGTGTAAATTCCTGCGATCTTTGATATTTCGTGATTCTTTAATCATAAATCATTCAAATCAAATTTCGTAGTACAACATTTAGCCACACTAATAAATTTGTTACGGTATAAAACCACACAAACACATTGCAATAAGACCCATATAGGAATTAATTATGTAAGAACCTAACTGTAAAATATGTAATATACAATTTAAAGAATATTTTTTAAATAAAATTTGCTCAATAAAATTTAATATCCTAGAAAATTTAATTTATGATATTGATATATTTATCAATTTCATACAATTTAAGCTAAATCAATTTGAAATAAAACTATATTTTATGTGAATAGTATTTAATATATATTTTAACATAAGCATACAAAATTAATAAAAAAAATTATCTTATAAATATGCACAAATACTGTGAAACTATAAACATTAAATAACTTATAATTAATTAGACCTTTAGGAGGAATTTAAAACTTTAAAATGGTTAGAAGATTGAGCAGCAATTATTTTTGGTGCCGATTCAAACATATCAGATCTGTCTAAAATAGCATCTAATTCTTCATCAGTAAAAACTGAAATAAAATCAATTAAAATAAAATGTAAACAGCTATAAGAAAAATTAGTTGGAATGTTTAAACAAAAAATTAAACTTACTAAATCCATTTGAATGTATTTTGTTATTATAATCAGATGATTCTAATAATTGAATTAGTTCTTCAATTCCTGATATAGTTAATTTTGAAGTTCTATTGAATGTACCTAAAATATTATAAAACTTCATTAAAATATGATTTAACTAAATTATTATCAAATCATAAAAGTAGATTATGTGTCAATAAAAATAAATTAAACAAAATAAACAATTTTACAAAAATATTCTACTACATGAATATCTTATATTTAGAATCAAAATTACTACAAATATGTATTTATTATTTTTAATTAAAATTATTAAATATTCAATTTTTTTTTTTTTTTGTCTTCAATCTTTCGATTGGTTGTCCGCAGCCCTCCAAGCTTCTCTGTTAAAAATAGTAAGTTACTATAGTAAGTTCAATAACAGTAAGTTTTACAACATATAATTTATAAGTTTATAATTTTTATTGTCTGTATACTCAGAATTTCTACCAGAACATTCTGATCATTACAATCTTACAGTTTCTGAAAGGAAATTTTGTCTAGATGATTCTATTGAGGTAAAAAAATTAAAGCTAAAAAAAGCTAAAAAAATTAAGTTGTACCAGTTTTTGACAAAATCAAAATTTTTTTTTGTAATAAAAGAACATTTTTTTTATATGTCATTAAAATTATTTTGGTAAGACAAAAAGTCTAGAAAATATAGTACAAAATTCTTTTCTTTAACAGATCAATAAAAAAAATGATGAGTGTATAAATATGACATTTTAACAGACTACAAAAATCTCCCACATTTATAAAACTTTTAAATTTAATATTTAAAAATTGGATACATTATTTTTTATAACATTGAATCATGTATTTTAACAATTTTCAACTATACAATATCAGTTTTTGGTTATTATTCTATTAATATTAATTATAGGAACTTGGAACATATACAATATAAAACAATATAAAATAATAAATTTTTGATGTAATATTTTACCACTTCCAATAATTATTTTTTCCAATTTTCTCTTTGCACCAGCACGTGCTATTATGTTTTCATCAATTGTGTTTTTAGTACAAAAACGGTACACAACAACTGGTTTATATTGTCCCATTCTATGACACCTATCTTGGGCTTGTAGATCAGATTGTGGATTCTGAAACAAATATTGATATAAATGTGATATTCATTTCTTTTATGATACTCTTATATTTTTAATTAGTAATCACACTAAATGTATGTTTATATTATAATATATTAACTAGAGGAATTTTTACCAAAAATTTAAATTTTTTCATATTTTGTTAAAAAAATTATAACAATATGCCTAAATATCATGTAACATATACAGATACATATACAGGCTTGTATTTCTACACTTAGCAAACTTTACATAACAAAAGATATTCTGAATAACAACAAGGTTGGATTGTTATTTGTGCATTTGGAACGGCTAATTATTTTAAGTTAAAAATATAATGTCTTCTTTTAATATAACGGAGAATTTTAACCTACTACCCAAAAAAAAAAAAAAAAAAAACGCGTGTTATTTTTATATCTTGATAAGTGTAAGCTGTTGATACAGCATCAATATTTCTAATATTTTCATTTTTAACTTGAAAACTTACAAAATATATACAATGCTAATAACCTTAGATGTCAAAGCCAAATTGATTATTCAGTTTTAAAAATAATATTACCAAGTAAAAATATTGAAAATGTAGTTTGTGGTTTTTCATTATTTATGTAAAATATATATATATATATATATTACCAAATTGATTTTATTATTTTTCCTTGAGCTCCATATCTCAGCGTTGTAACCAAATAATGAAAATACATGATGTCATTCATGTATTTTTGTTTGCATAATACCCAATTGGTAATTTTTTTTTTAGTAAAGCAAATTGTTGAAAACAAGGTTTTTTTTTGTCTGTCCCATTTACGTTCACACAATAAAGTACAGTTATTCTGTCCATAGCTTTTTTTGATCGGGTGGAACTATCTGTAGTTGTACAATGCCGTTTCATCTACAATGTAGATATCTTCAGAAGAAAATTTTAAAAGTACCTAGCTGTGGAAGTTTTGTAGTTACCATTGATCAGCATCATCTGCATTTGTGCTAGTTTTTTCATCATGTGTTCTTTTATATTTTCTTAAACTTGATATCTTGTCTTACTTTCCATCAAGACATCCAACCCCCAGTAGCTTTGAATTTATCGTTACCAAGTTTTTTTTTTTTGCAAGGTCTTCTCTTTTAGCTTTTAATTCTGAGCTTGATACTTGAATATCTTGGCTAGTAGCCAATGAAAACTATTGATTTTGTGCTTTGTATATATTTAAATCTTTACCATTGTTTTCTTTTTTATATTGTAACTTGTTGAGAAGCTTGTTCTCGTAAAAATAGTTCTTGAATTTTAATCTGCGCGGTTGTTGATTTTAGTATTTCTAAAATTTCTGATAAACGATGGGAACTAGAGCCCGGCGGCTGTAATTTGATTTTGTTATGAACATCATTTTTTTGCGCCAGTGATAAATCATTACAATTACCAGACATTGTTACCTCATATATCATGCACCATACACGACAAATAATTGATGCACTAAATAAAATTACACTTAATACAATATAAATAATCACACTAAATCACAAAAAATATCACTCTTAAAACACAATAATAGTGACAAAAATAACATCAAGGAAAGATTTATGTTGGATTATCAATCTTAGTTGATATTATATAATTCATAAAAATCTCCCAATTTTTATATCCTAGATAAGTGATGAATATTTACATTATAATCATTATTTTGTTTAGGTAATTAAAAATTTGTCCCGATTAAGTGGTTTTCTCAATTATCTGATGTCCCTTATAAGCTAAGCGGAGTCTACTGTATTTTAATTCTATAATTTTGAAAATTCCTAAATTTTGACTAAGTAACTTTTACCAAGCATCACCAAATTAATATATAAAATAATTAATAACATAGGATTTTTAAGATTTATAGAATTATCAATTAAGTTTACAATAATTTATTCTAATCAATTAAATATGACTGATGAAAACACTTTAAAATATTATTTTACAAAGTGATTGATAAAACTTCTATTGGACATTCTTTAGATTAAATTCTATAGTATTTAATATTTAAAAAAAAATTATACGTACCCAATCACTATCAAATATTATAACAGTATCTGCAGCAGTTAAATTTAAGCCAAGCCCACCAGCACGTGTGGAAATTATCATTAAAAAATAATCTGGATCATTGTTGAATGTATTTATTGCATTCACTCTAGGTAGAATATTCATTGTACCATCTAATCTGGTAAATTTATAGTTACGCAAGATCAAAAATTCATGAATTACATCTAATATTTGAACCATTGTAGAAAATAGAAGCACCTTAAAAACAAATATACATTTACAGAATTATTATACATTATATTAGCAAAAATAACTTTTAATAATCTTAAAATATTTTAGTATAAATATTGGGGTGTTTCATATTTGACTGATGTATGAATATCAATTGTGCAATCCCTCCATTTGTTTTAAATAAAAAAGGTTGATTCCAATGTGAACTTTTCAACTCGATTCTAATCATTTACTGAAATGAGGAGAATTTTTAGATTTAAAATACACACAATTTTTGTATCATAATGTTAATTTTTTTTTTTAAAGTGCTTATTTCCAATAAAAAAATTCACAGGGATTAATGGCACTTTCGGCGAAAAAAATATATAAGTAAAGGTGATTTTAAGTTATTATTCTCTTTCCTTATTTTTTAATTAGTATAGTTAATTTACAATATTATATAAAAATCATACTTTAAATGTAAAAATTCTACTTGTTACAGTGAATGATTAGGATTGAGTTAAAAAGTTTATATTAAAGTCAAAATTTTAATTATTTTATTTAGAAACTAATGGAGAGGTAGTGCAATAGATATTCAAAAATCGGGAAGGTAAGAAGCACCCAAATAAACATAAATTAATTTCAGATTAATCTTTTGTGTGTAATCATACATTTAATAAGTCTTTTGAATATTTATATAATTAATCTAGCATTATCAAGTATCTAAATTATATAGTAATATTGACAAATTTATAATTTACCTTATGACCAAGGGTTTTTAATTTTGTTAACATAGCATCCAAAACTTGAAATTTTCCACTAACTTTAACAATATTTTCATCAACAAGAATATTATTTGTTCCTGGAATTAAGGGCATATGAACAAGATATGGATGATTAGCAATTTTCTTTAATTGAATCATAGGTTCAGTCATAGCTAATGTGATGGCAGTTTTTTCAGTTTCAACCCTGGAATAAAATATAATATGTTTGTAATTTATTTGAAATGTAAACATTTTATTAATTATTTTATTCTACAGTCTATTTTAATAACTAAATTATTATTTTTATATTTATAAAATTTATAAATATGAATAAATATTTTTAAAATTTAAATTTGTTCTTTAACTGTAAAAATGTAAGTCAAAACTAAATAAAATTGTCCAATCATTTCAATTATAAATACATAATATTACATACATTTTAAATATAATTTTATCAATTTTTTTGTATAGCAACTATTAAATAAAAAATTCTTGTTTTTTTTTTTAAACATTTATAATATTCAAATTTAGAATATTGTTTAATATTTTTAGTGTTATAGTAGTGAAATACATACTCTGGCTTTTGTACTGATTTAATAGCAAAAAGATCTGTATATTTTTCAATACATTCAACACATCTTCGTTTAGGCTTTCCTTGTATTATGTCGGATTCCTAAAAACGATTAATAATTTATCTTTCTGCAATTTTTAATAGATTATAAAAATATGTTACTAGTTTAACAAGTATTAGTATAACTATTTGAGGGTTGTCACTAGGAAACTTCTCGCTAAATACTAATTATAACCTAAATATTCTTAACATAATTATATCCTATTTGATTATTATATATATGAATAGGTGAAACTAGACACTTTGAAATAGATCACTTTTTATTAGGTCAGGCCAAATGAAAAATATGAAAAGTATTATTACGTTAAATTAACTATTATTTCCTATAATATAATTATAAAAATAAACGTCAAATGTCTAAATTAAACAATAACTAATAAAACCCTTTATTCAAATACTTGAATAGATTTATTATGTTCTATTATAATCCTTATTTGTACTAATTGTAACTATATACTATATTATATTATAGTATTATATGAAACTTACTAATGTATACGTTTATACATGTATAAATATATTATTTATAATGCCTAAATAATTATTAAAATATATAATATATACATATTTTTCGTTAGTATTAGGTTAACCATGGCCTGAATCGTAGTTTCGCCTATGAATATATGCATATATTAAAAACTGTAAATTTATAATTTTAATAAAAAAAAAAAGTAGAACTATAAGTATTTTTTTTTTAAATCACAATAATTGAAGAGTAAAAGTTAATAATAATTATTGTTATATATAAAAATTATTTACTGTTTCATAAATAGTAATGATTAATGAATGAAAGTAAAGATTTGTACCGATCAAAATATAACATACAATATAATAAAAACCATATTACCTCTTCCTTCTTCAGAAGTATATCTAATTGTTTATTTAATGTTGCTTTATATAAATGTTGTTGTACTTCTGTGAGGGGAGCATAAATAAGAACTTCTTTCTTTGGTGGCAAGTTTAAATCTGTTTCTATTTTTTCCCGTCTTAAAATAAATGGCTTTAGTATCTATAAACATAAAATATGAATATAAATAGAAACCATGTTGAAATAATATCAGGATTTATTGTTAAAATATTAACTTTATATAATTTTATAAATAATAAACAATAAACAATTAGTTTCTGATAGTATTTATTACTTTACACGTAATGTTTTTCTATAAACTTAAAATATATAAAAAAAAAAAAAATTAATTATACTAGTAGTTTATGTAATACTAATAGTTATTATACTAAATGTAAATCGTTTTTCAATTTTAAGAATAAATATATATATATATATATATATATATATATATAGATTAGATTTTATTCTTATTGGGTATTATACTTATTACACTAAGGGTCTTGCTGATCCGGTTATCCCTTGTCTAGACAATTATATAATTATATTTTGTACTTTAGTACTTGTATATATATACGTACACATTCATATTATATAAAAATGATATATGTCAATGTCAATTGTTAATAACAATTGACATTGAAATAACAATTTATTATCTACTATAAGATGTATATTATTGATACATAATTAATATATACATATTCTTAGGTTCTTATGTATTTATAGTATAATTGTAAGTACCTCTACAAAATTAGAATTATTCAGGAAGGATCCATGTATTTAGTTAATTAAGATTTTATTGTTTCAATTACATATTGTGATATTATTATTGTTTTTAATTTCAGTTAATTAGTACATTTATTGTTTTGTTTAGTGGTGATTGTATATTTGTGTAGACCATTTAACGTTTACATTTATTTTATTCTCTGGTTATTATAGGAAGTTGAAAAAAAAAGTCATTCAATTTAATCCAAATTTTTAACAATCCAGATAGAATCTGATCCCATCTAGTCTGAATAAAAGACTCTACTGTACTTATTAGTTATTATTACAAAAATGAATAATAGATATTAACCTTAATGACTATATATATTTATATTATTTTATGTAACAATAGCTATGATTATGGGGAATTAGATTAAAATCATAATTATATATTTGTATATATATTTATTTATAAATTAAATATTACACAGTATATAAATTAAAAATATACTTCAAAATAAATGAATTTACCTTTAATATGATATTCAAAATTTCATCTTTTTTAGCCAAATTAGCAATTTCATCATTGGAGCCAAAAAAATCTTCAACTAAAAACCAAGAATTGAAATCTTCTAATTTACTGAATATTTTTGGCATCAATAAATTTAATAATGACCATAATTCAGACATATCATTTTGAATGGGTGTTCCAGTAAGTAAGAGTTTATTGGAACAATCAAGTTTGCGCATACAGCTAAAAGTATATTTAAAATGATTGTTACATTTTGCATACATTAATACAATCAAAAATTAAAATAATAAGTTATACATACTTGGAAATTATAGCATTAATGTTTTTCAACTTTTGTCCTTCATCAATTGTTATATACATCCATTTGATACTTTTTAAAAAGTTTATATCAAAACGAAGAACTTCGTAAGTAGTTATAATAACTGGATAACAGTTAAAATTTTTTACTTTAGAAGTTTCTTTAAATTTAGATCGTAATTTAAAACGTTCTTTTTCTGGACCATGATATAGTAATGTAGGTATCTAAGAAAATAATATTATTAAGAACATTTTAATTAATAATTAGATAAATAATAATAATTATTAAAAACACAAAATTTAATTAATTACTTCAGGAGAAAATTTAGAAAATTCCAACAACCAGTTGGGAACAGTAGAGAGAGGTGCAACTACAAGAAATGGTCCACCAATTCCCATTTCTATAAGAAAACAGTAAAAAGCTATGGTTTGTATAGTTTTTCCAAGTCCCATTTCATCAGCTAAAATTCCGTTTAAACCATTTTCAAACAAAGTCTAAAAAATAAATTAATGCTATTATTTTAATTAATTCCTAATTAAAATACAAGTTATGCAATCAATATTATTTTATAATTTAAATATAAATTTAATTTAAACTATTTACTCTTATCCATAAAAGACCTTCAATCTGATGGTTCTTAAGATGTCCTTTAAATAATTTTGGTTGTTGAAATAAACTTAAGTAATTATCTTCTTCGTTACCATTCTAGATATCAATAATCAATATAAATTAAATCTTTAAATTAAAATAAATTTAAATAATAAATAAGCAATTTCAAAATAAAACTTAACCAAACAACTATTTTCTATTTTCTGGTTAAAAAAATGAAAGAATATTTTTAACAAATGTATTGGTATTTCATAATATAGTTTAGTTATTATTCAAAGATCCATTCAACTTTATTTAAAGTTAATAGGATTTTTATAAAAATCACTTATTATTTTATTATAACTAGGGAATGGATTTTAATTTGAATAAATATTTTTATGTAGTTTTAATATCGGAGAGTTATTGACACATGTGTACGTTTCATTTGGTTTTGAATGAACTGATGCTAATTTTATTTTAAATATTTTTAAATATTTTAGTATAATTAAATATTTTACAAATAAATAAATAATAACTAAATATTTTACTAATATATACGTAATCTATATTATTATAGAATTTCTGTTTTTATTTTAGTATTTTACGATGAACGAAAATATATGATCAAGTCTGTACAATATCTTATCTAGAAGTAGGTACAAATTTTAAAAAACTTGCAAAACAATTTAGCACTTATTTCCGCTAATTTTGGATTTTTAGTTGATACTATTTCAAAATTAGAAACTTCTAAAATGCCATTAACTGAGAGCCTAGAAATAGTAGATAATGCCATTAAGCCATTAGAACGCATTCCTGGAGAAACTGGAGTTTTAACTAACTCTAAATTACAAAACATATTGGGAAAAACCCCAGGTTTTAAGGCTGTAAAGTCAATAGAGAAATATCTTTAGGAGAAATCCAAAAAACAATTTTTTAAATAGAGTACAGTCCAAAAGAATTAACATATATGAAATACGCACTTGTCACTTCCGTTGACGTGGAGAAGTCATTTAACCGTCATAAAGTAATTCTGAGATTGAATCGCCGTAATTTAAAATTTAAAACTCAAATTATATGTCGTTTTTAATTGTTTCTCACATGAAGAATATTCGGATGATTCAGAATAAACATTTTTATTTTTGTATTATGTATTATTTATAAATCATAGTGAATTACATCTTATTTTCAATTTCAATATTTCAATATTATATATAAATATATAAGAAGTAATAAACTTATATATATTTAAATATTTTTAATTTTTTACTAAATTTAAATCTGTTCCCTAATCATAATTAAGCTCTATTTCAAAAAATTTCTTTAGTCTTCTCCCGTTGATGTAGGTATATACTATATACCGGTGGTTCTCAACCGTCGGTCCGCGATAAAAAAATGCCGGTCCATATTGTGTTGTTATCTTAGTATACTACATATAATCTCTATTGTACAAAATATTTATTATTCTATAGACAACAGTTTTTTCTTTCTTAAATTCATTATGGGGGGTGGTAAAGGATACAATTTACTATCCAATAGTTTTATTAAGATAGCAAAATAACAGTTAGAATTTGATCTTTAGTTAGGTAAGATAATTTAACCTTAATAATTTATTAACTGCAAAAATATGCAGTTCTTATTATATTTTTGAAATGTTTTAACTATTAAGTTTGTTAAATACCAATACCTTACCTAGTTTAAAACTCAAAAGAATTTACAATTTATCAGTTTTGAAAATATAAAATATGAGTCACTTTTAAAAATTGAAGCTTAACAAATTAATCTATAAATAGTAGTTTTTATTTCTAGGTACTATAAATAAAATGTTAATGATCATTAGTATTACAAGGTTATACATCAATTGATGATTTTGAAATATTCTATTATTTAATAAAAACTAAATTAAATATTTACTTCAATTTTAAGAGAATTCATTGTTTTACTTGGTATTTTTCCTTTCATTTTATTAGCTTTTTCTTGTTCTTTCCTAAAAATTAATGCAAAATTAGCTTTAAAATACAGATTTACATTGTAAATTAATTTTCACCTAGTTATTTACTAACTATAATTATATATAAATCATTAATTACTTACTTGATAATTTGAAGTTTACATTTTTTTAATCTGGTTTCAAAAACATTGGTTAATTTTGTACTATTTTCTAAAAGTGTAAGCAAATTTTGAAATCTTTCCTTCCTTTGTTTTTCATTCAAATCATTTATCTAATTAATAATAAGCAAAAATGTTTAAATGTCAAATTTTTTTAAGTAGCATCAAAAAAAAATTTAATTGAGCTGTTGAGTAATTTATTTAATACATCAAATTAAGACTTTCTCAAATAAATTTATCTTATATTTTTTTTCATAAAACAATTGATGAAAGACTAATGTTTTTTAACTAGTATTTAGTATTTTTAGTCTTTTGTACGTAACCAAAATATCAATTAAAACATAAAACAAATTTATTTTAATGTTCTAAAATATTATTGCAATATATTTGATTTAATATTCCGTATTATTTTTTGAAAAATTTAAAAATTTACCACAGTCTTTTCATCTTCTTCTGTATGTTCTTCTTTTAAACGCTGTTCTTCTAATAATATTTCTTTTGGGAAAAAACAATCTTCTAAAAATGTAAATAAATATATTATTTATTAGATTTAAAATATGAATTAACAAGAACTGATTTACATAAATTTATAATAATTAAAATGAAAATATTTATAAGCTAAGAAAAATTATTTATGTAAATTTGAATGATTTTTAAATTTAAAATTGTATAGATAATATGGACATAATTGAAATAGTTTTTATCACATTATCTTATGCTCAAACTAGTGCAACATAAGATTAATGGAAAATGTAATTAACTACATTTGAAATGTATTTATGAATACAGAGTGATTAAAATTTTAATAACAATAAATTTGAAACAATTTTGTTGGAATTATTAAATTTCTATGATATAATTTTTCCTGATTTAGAAATCATAAAATACTAGTTTACAATAAATAATATTTTTTTAATTATTAATTTTATAATGTATACTTTACTTAATTAATTAACTATAGATATTTTTTACCATTATTTATATCATTTTGACTATTTGAATAAGAAATGTTGCTCAAAATATTTTCTTGGTTCATGTTGCAATTTCTGAAATAAAAAAGGAAACAATGGGCTATTTTAAACAGAACTGTTTGAAGCTAAAAGAAATAATATTTATGTTTGATAACAATTATAATGGTTTTAAAATAATTATAAAACCCATCGATAGTTAATATGCATTACTCAAACTAATATTAAAAACAACTTTACTTAAATAATAATAAACAAAATAATAATGAATAACAATAAGGGGTAAAAATAAATTGCTATTAGATAAGTTATTATTTAATGTTATAAAAGTTGTGTTATGGTTTTGAAAAAAATATGTATTATTAGTAAAAAGTCGTTACAAGAATAATACATTCATTATAAATTATATAGTCAGAAATTCTGACTATATAGTATATATATATAAGATGAATATATTTTTTGGTTGTAATGGTATTAAAATAATAATTTTCTACACTTTAAAAACTGACAATTATATAATAATATAAATAAAACGAGAAACTGGTAAATCAGCCGCCAATTGCCTAGTGGCCCAATCTAAAATACCATACACATAAACTAATACGATTGACACAGGTAGAGAGATCAGGTACTTATTATACATTACTTATTATACTCCGATATTCCAGGTTTTCAGTTTAGGCAGTCACAAACGAATGACTAATTTGTGGCAATTTCAAACTATATCAGCCACAAATCCAGTTGAATCTTCGATGAGAGTAGAAAAATTATAGGTTTTTAAGAAGATTGTCAATTAGTAACACGCTACGGGCCGTATTTGTTAGCCACTGATACGCGATTCTGTAAGGGAACAAAACGCGAAATTCATCGGATGTCTAACGTCAATTGCCAACCATATGGATACGGGTTGGGAGAAATAATTCGAAATTTCAAATTAACGATACCACAGATTATATGAAAATTATTTTCATTTAATCTGTGACTATACTATAATAGTGGACAAATAAAACGAACATCAGTTTGGTTATCTCAGAAAATTGGAGGGAAACCGAAAGATCGAATCCAAAATACGTTATCACTGATTTAACTTGATTGATAATGATACTGAGATACGGGTCCGTGAGTAAAATGGTTACGGTTTAAACCATAAAACATATAAATTGATATATTTATTTTTGTATGTCTATGGTCTGAAATCCAATTTTAGCCCATTTTTAAAGTTCATTGAAATAAATATTGTTTTATATTAATTCAGTATATATATCATACGAAAAATAAAAATAGTATCTAAAATAATATTGTGTTGGTTAGACGACTCAGGCGTTGATAAAGTTGATATTGTTTTCACGTAGCGGTTACTTAAGTATTTATTCTCATTCGAGTTTTGTCGATTATTCTAAAAGTATATATTTATTTATTTTTTTCGTTTAATTTTATTTATTCTTAAATAAGAAATAGACTACGAACACCGTAGTAAGTGTTTAATATTAATAATATGTATTTTTATGATGATAAACATAAAAAAACATTTAGAAAAATCGCATAAAAATATTAATACTTATATCTCAAAGTGTATAGTTAAAAAATAACTAAAAATAATCGTTAAAAAATATATAAGAAGTATTTTATATATTTTACTGTACAAGATTACAAAGTTTAGTTTGTGTCCATTTGCGTCTGTTATTTATTATGTTATATATTATTTATTATTTATGTTATTTATTTATCGACATTTACAAAAATTTAAATTGTTATCATTTATATTCTTACTTTTATACTTTTGATGACTTATGTCAACTATTAAGATATAGAGGTTCATTAAATTCTCACTCTGTAAAATCAAGAAAATACTTACTTTTTTGAAGGCTAGATACAAAATTGAATAATGGGATTCGCATTACATAAAATTAGTTGAGTTAAAATTTTAATACATGGAGTTATTGTTATTACATCTGTGTTATTCCCTATAGGTAAAATATACAAAAATAAAAATTAAAATTTTAAATTATCAATGAAAATATTTGTTTATGACAACTTTCAAAAGATCGCATGAAGCCCGAAATAAGGATTACAAAAAATATAGTGAACATCATTTACGAAAAATTAGTAGATCAGCCTAAAACAAATGCGTACTTCATTTGTTATTAGTTTTTTCAGATCCATACATTTCCTCGATATGTTAATCAATTTAACTAAAAATCAAGAGGTGTTAATTTTTTCCGCCTAAAATTGGATTTTAGATCACTGTGCGACGTTGACGCACGGCGCCAGCAACTACTGTAACTATTAGAGTTCTTTTTTCATTTTTTTTTTTTTTGTAAAACGAAGAAGGAAAAAACATCCTTTGCTATATCCATCCCTGCATAAATATTACTTAATTTACTTTACTTTACTTTCATAATTATTTCAACTTATTTTGTACTGACAAATAAGTACTTGAGTTCAATTACTAGTCACGTTTGTACATATGAGGAAAAAAGAAATCTTCGGATATCTTAAAGTTTTACTTGCAAAACAGCTTATATAGTTATATCCGCTTTCGTGAAAATTACCTTTTTGGGTTCGCCCCATTAACCTATCCTATATTTTTACGAGATCTAACAAGTTTTTGAAATATAGGTATTTCAAAGTGAATAATATATAATCATAAAGCAATCATTTTGGACAGGGCCATATTTATGGAGTGATTCAAAGAGGTAATAGCCCCCCGAAATATATAAGGAGGTGAAAATATTTTTACGGTGATTCTAAATAAAACCCAATCGCTTTTTTCGTATTCTCAATGGAAATTATGAATAAATAAAATTATATAAAAAATAAATGTTATATTATTTAGTATCGCATAACATTCATATCTATTTAAGAGTATTTTATTTGACATGGTATTTTATTGAGATATTGAGATATTGGTTTAATGCTGATTTATAAGGGAATGAAACATTCAGACCGAAAGGTACTGAATTATTTAAGGATACCACCATCTGTCTTATAAAAGACAATTGTCCATAACTTAATGTATGTAATTATAACTCGGTTATTATTTTGGATTTGATATTAATTACAGATATGATATAATAGTGTACTGAAATGGGGAAAATAAATTGCAAGCGGTTTTTTAATGAATAGCTGGAGACACTTATTTTCGATTTACATTTCAGGGAAGGGAGGCGGAAAAATGTTGTTGTTCCTAGGCAGAGAAATATTAAATATGGTCTAGTTATCCAAAAAGTGTATTGAATCATCAAGTTGATATTTTCTATGTTTTAACAGGTTACAAAAAAAACACAGCGATTACCGACTTTTACAGTATACTAAGTATATTATTAACATTCAATGTCAACATAGGTCAAAAGTTAAATTTTTTCTTTTGAGCTAAAATTTAAAAATGTCAACTAATTAACTTAATAGTTATGTAGGCAAACCTGGGCATAAACGAGTTAATTTTAACTTTTAACTTAACTTTTTTTATTTTAATTTTTATTAGCTTAATTTTTAAGTCAACTTATTTTTAATTGATATAAACTTAATAAATAACGAGTTACTTTTAATAAAATTTAAGTTTATTTATAAATAATTAAATAATAAATATAATACATCTATTATTGATGATGCATATTACATAACCATTTACTAGAATAGGAAATTAGAAATACAGTTCAATTTAACTAGAATTCTTCAAGTCAGTTATTTAATAAGCGAAGAGATTCAACGGCTGATAAAAACTTTGAAATGATTTTTTTGCTAAAATTTAATAAATATTTTACTGAAGTATAAAATTGGCTCCATTATCTTATATTTTTAAACTTTTAGTTCCTTGAAAAAGTATTCAGAGTTTAAAATTTAATACATTCTTAAGTATCATGTTATTTTAATTTAATAGTTTTAAAAAAAATGTATAACACCAAACTGTATTAATAAATCAAAATATTGTATTTATTTCGGCATTTTATATTCTTTGGTAACTTATACATAATTATATTCATCAGTACCTAATAATTTAATTCTACATATAGAAAAGCTATTGGCTATTTCTTGTGCTCAATAATATTTATAATTTTTATTATTTTAAACTATATTACTGGCTATTTATATAGTTATTAAAAAAATAATAATAATAATAATAGTAACTTAGCTTAAGTTAATAAATTAATTGAAAATGTTCATATAACTTTTAAGTTAAAAAAAAAAATTTGGCTAACAGTTAACTTCAACATTTTTAAATTTTTTCCATCGACTTAACATTACTCAGTTAAAAATTATCATTAATTTGCCCAGACTTGCACGTAGGTATAGGCCGTTTTGAAAAAATAGGTGGGTAGGATATTTACTATCCCCGACTTGAAACTGAGCACGCCTATAATTAATATAGTACATCTTGTATATATTTATATATACATATACGTGTTTATATATATATGACAGAGAGACAAGTTTTGTTTTCCATTGTGATTGAATGATTTTTTAAATAAATTTTTAAAATAAAAATTCATTTTCAATAAAATTTGTTTTTCCTTTTTTTTTTCATACTGTATATTAGTTGAGTAGGAATTTGAAAATTGTATTTTGGCTTTATTGAAAAAATGTTATGAATGGATTACTAAAATTTATCCCTCTAGACTTCAAATAATTCGAAGGAATATTTTAGACAAACCAACTGCCAACGCGTAATTATTTGTAGTTTTATCCACTCAGCTATCTTGAAAATTCGAAGTATGTTCAGCGTCGAAGTTTTTGAAATTTTATTAATCCTCGTAAATATTATTCAAAAAGTAAAACAAAGTTCCAGGCAGCAGAAAAAATGTAATTGAAATTGTAATTACTTAATTTATATTTATATTGTAATAATATCTGAACTATTGAACTTCGAATCGAACAGTAATGGTCGGCGTAAAATTACAAAGTATTAAACTTCATTTAAAATATTATGGATTTCCAAAAACTTTTTATTAATGCCGTTGTAATTGATAATGTTTTAACTAATGAAATAATTTTTAAAGTTTCAACAAAATCGATTGGACAATCTTTCTGGCATATTGTTATTATGTTCAAATCAACATCATGTTTGTCATTAAATATCAATATTGATAAATGTCAATATAAAAATTGAATTAATATTGAATTTTAATCTATTAACAAGTGTGCATTATTTCATCAGTTCTCAGGCCAATTGGAACTATTTATATATCTGGCCGGGAAATAACTGGAATGGGATTGCTTACTATCAAAAATTAAAAAATTATATTTTTCTGTCGGGATTTTAATATTGTTTGTATACGTATCGGAGAATTATATTTAAGTGGCGGAGTCTTGTAAAAATTTATACGCTCGTCGTTCAATAATTTGTTACGTTTTTTTCATGTTCTCCTACCGGAGTCCTCTAAAAACAATTGTGGATCATAATTTGTGAACCGTTACTATAGAGCATTATAATAATTACGTGGACGTTTCGTTGAATACTATCGGGAGAGTAACGCGATCGAAAACGAAAACCTAACCCACACAAATGTGCGTATTTTATTCGTGTTCGTCGTATACATGGTACTACGCGTTACAAGTGAAGCGGAGTAGAAATGAAAAAAATAAATAAATAAACGAAAATAGAATAAAATATGAATAAATATTTAGACGCGCGCACCGCGAAACTGGTCCACGGCCGAAGCGACGTTCTCGCGTGTGCCATTTCGTCGCGAACTTGTCTGGACGCAGAGGCTGAATCCGCCCAACAACCGGTCGCCGGACCAGCAGCACCTTGCGGCTCTTGTGCAGACGTGGCGAACTCCGTGCTGCGCGCGTGTGCGTGTGTTCGGTTTTACGCTCACTGTTGCCATAATTTATACGGCTCCGGGCGCTAACGGACCGTCACGATGACGTTCACGGGCATGTCGATCTGGAAAGGGCGAGTTAGGAGCAATTCGCGGTGTAAACAAACATTGTCTGCATTTTATACGCGGTCGAACCTCTGTTTAAAGAGAAGTTTTATTATTATTATTTTTTTTTTTGGAATGGAATTTTCATATTAAGAATGATTTTTGAATTAAATTTATTTCATTTTATTA